GTGGAGAGAAGCAGCCAAGGCCGATCAGCCAATCGATGGGCGACGCGTCCGGGCATATGCTGGATATTTTGGGGAAGACCAGCCTTACTGCAGTGCAGTGCCCACCTTCCCGGGGGGGATCCAGATCAGTCTCCATTCACTGTGGTGACTGGTGGTGGTAGTGATTGACAGCTCTCTACTCCGTACCTTGGTTGTTTACCTGGAAGTGTCTCTCTTGCTCCGTCATGGCTCTCGGCGGAAGGCTGGGCTTGGCGCGAGAGCGGACAGCCTCCGGTCGAGTAGTAGAGAACCTTTGAGGAGTGAGTTGATTAGAACTCATGGTACTACGAGATTGAGAGCGCACTGAGGTCTCATGCGCTGCTATACTCGGATACTGGTTATAGAATATAGGTATAGACCATCGAGAGACGATAGGAAATCGACGAGGATGCCTCTGCTCGAGCATTATTGGCATTATTGTCCCTTATTGTCCCGGACAGACAACCAGACAACATGATGTCACTTCCCGCTCGCTCTCTCTGTGCTGACATCGGATCAACATCATTTCCACCATCTCTGTCGACCCATTGCATGCACGGATTGGTGGCTTGGTATTGCCTGGCATTTGGATCATGGAGTGTGGTGAGTCTAGTGCAAGGATGAGTGCGTCTACATGCGAGTGCCACAGCCGACGGGTGGTTGCATGCTGATTGCCAGTATCAGCGTAGAAAGCGGCTATCATTATGGCAATTTCGGATCATTTAACACTTGCTCGTTCTAAGCCTTACAGATATTGTCATGCCTCGTAGATATTGTTGAGAAGAGCTGGGTCGACGCTGTTGCATCTCCGCGCGACCAGTAGGATGGTACTAATATTCCGTGTTGACAAGCTCTTGGCCATGGTTCTAGATTCTCTGCGGCTTCAAACCCCTCCATAGAACATGTCTATGTCAGGTTGATGCTCATCAACGCCTGCAGGCCAGTTCTTCGTATTGTTGGTCGAGACCGGGGAAGGCGGCCGAGTGAGACGGGCTCCACCGCCCGCCAATGAGACTGCCGCTTCTGCGGCGCCGACGTGACCTCTCGGCTTCCATCATCATTCAACTTCAACCAACGATTTGGTATACGCCAGTCTCGACTCGCTCTTGGGTTTACATTCCTACCCCAGGGTACCAGGACTACTACGACTGTATACGAGAACTAAGACAATCTGACACATCCTCATTGAGTCAAACGGACGAACGGCCAAACCGGATAGCAAACGCTCAACGATCCATCACCCACAAAAACAACAACCATCATCATCACCACCACCACCACCACACCTCCTATTTGCGGTGTTTCAGCCCGTCTCAAAATGTCCTCCGCAGCCGAGGAGTCCCCGGCTCAGCGAGCTGCTCGCCTGCGCCGTGAGCGTCGCGAAGCCAAGATCAAGGAAGGAGGTGCCGCTCGTCTCGAGAAGATCACCAACTTGAGTGGACGGCCCCCGGCCAGCGGTATGTCGCTGTTTACCACCGCCACGCCCTACCCATGGTTATCAACACACAGGCGAAGGACATAGCTGAGCTGACTCTTCTCAGTCCATGAGGTACCCTCACCATCGCCCAGCCCGCAACCCGAATTCCTATCACAACACACAGCACCGCCGCCACCAGCGCCAGTCTTTCCGACCACAGCCCCAACCCCGGCCCAATCCCAAACCAACCCTCCCACCTTCCCCGACCACTCCCAGGCGGAACCCGAACTCGACCCCGAGACCCTCCAAGCCCAACAAGAACTCTTCCGTGCTCTGCTCCGCCAACCGGCGCCCTCGCCCAACCCACAACAGCAACTCCGCGGTCCCGGCGGCGCTGCCGCCCCCAACCCAGCCGGCGACCTGCTCGGCCTCGACGCGCAAGACCCGACGCTCAAACTGCTCAACTCCCTCATGGCCTCCAGCTCCGGCGGCGGCGGCAGCGGCAACCCGCTCGAGAACATCAACCTGGCGGACCTCGGCCTCGGCGACGGCAAGGAGTCGTCCACCGACCTGCTCACCAACCTGGGCCTGCCGCCGTTCCTGGCCAACCTGATCGGCAACGCCATGCGCAAGAAGACGGACGCGGAGAAGCGCGAGATCATGGTCTGGAAGGTGGTTCATTTGGTCTTCGCCGCCGTCGCGGGGCTGTACCTGCTCTTCGTGCTGGGGTCGGCCGTGAGCGTGTACGGGCGGGCGCCGCCGGCGCCGGCGACGGCCCAGGATCCGTTCACGGTGTTCATGACGGGGGAGGTGGTGTTGACTGGGGCGCGGGCGCTGTTGCGGTCGCGGGAGCAGGGGGGCGGGGTCGGGTTGGGGATGGGGGTGCAGCTGGTGCGGGATGTGATGCGGGACGGGAGCTTGGTGGTGTTTTTATTTGGGCTGGCGTCGTGGTGGTATGGAGAGAGATTGGTCTGAATTGCTTGTTTGTGGCAGAAGACGTTCTGGGATATAGGCTAGAATGACTAGAATTGTGGATTGTCTGTATACACGTGTGTGATCACTTCAATGGACAGTGAGTGTCGTGCACCCTGGTCGAATCGAAGCCATAAGCCATATGAGAGCACTGCTACTGCCACAGACCGGTCTTGCGAGCGGCTACTCCCCCAACCACGCTGTCCACCACTGCCTACTGACCGATAAGTTAGTGTAGCCCATGTCTCCGACACTAGCTGCTTAGTGCTCATACCAGGCTCACTGTATAAAGGAGTACGGAGTAATACAATTGCATCCCCAGGACCCGAACCTCCAACGGTCCACCCACTCACCCACCCACCAGCAACCAAGTAATCTAATCTAAACTTCGGTCCCCCCCCCCCCTTTCCCGCAGGCAAATCCAACGCAGAACTTATTGATCCTGCACCGACCCCCATCAAACCAATCCTTAGACCTGACCACGTGCATCTCCCCTTACTGCAATTTGCATGCAGGCTAGAGCATGCACATTCCACTCTGAATCTTAGAAACTCCCAGACTAGTACAGTACACCCACCCCAGGAGTCCTGGGCAGTGGACAGTGGACAATGGATGGTAGGTGCCTAGGCTCTCAACAGCGGCAGGAGATACTCGTAAGACAATCAAACTACCTAGTAAAACCCTAGACTACGTAGACTACTGTAGCCAACACACACACACACACACAAACCCACTCCTCCCGCCCCGCCCATGGGGATATCCAGCCAGCTCCGTCAATTGGAACTGGAACACACATTGGCTACGCGCCTCCGAGCACACACACCCTAACAACCTCCAACCCCGCCCTCAGGCCTTGAACCAGATCCGCCCGCCCACCAACCGAAAGCAACCCGGCCGGTGGCCAGTGGGGAGCCCGAGCCTCGAGCGCAGTGCCTTTCACGCTTCGGCTGTGGCCACCGGACTAGACAACCTACACAGCCGGTCGCGGATTCGCGAGGAGGGGGCGTATCAAGATGATCGTAAGGTCAAGACATGCTCCGTACTTAGTCTGGTACTGACTTTCATAGTACTATGGTGAGCGGAAGCGGATGGTAACTGAAGTTACGTAGGAGACGCGGAACTTGGTGAGCTGCCTACGGATTAGCACGCATAGATATAGATCGGGACTTGGCCGAAGCAGGCAGGTCCTTTCTCGGGCCCGGGACGGTCGTCAGCGGGAAACGGGGCCTTTCGTTGAGGGAGATTCTGACGTGGCGTGGCATGGTTTGGGGGTTTCTGTCAGATTGGCTTGTCTCCTTTCATTAATATTGTGGGAGTCCGTGCTGGGACTGAGGAGGTGGCGATCATTTCGGTTGTTGATTAGACTAAGTAACTTACGCAGTGGTTGGGGAGTTAGTGGTTTCCGGTGGAGGATTTAGCCATGCATAACTGCTGCTCCACTGCTCATACCGAAGCAAGCACTAAGTTACAGTTGATAAGCAGTAGTAAAGCGGTCTACATCTAAGAGCGTGGCCAGGAAGAAAGAAGTATACGGTACTGTACGAAGTCGACCTTTTTCGAGGACCACACCCCAACTGCTGCGTGGTCTAGTTGCTGGTAGTCCATCGGGCCAGAGGGGAGACGCTGTCAAGCTTGCCTCCAACCATTTGCCCACCTCATTGATCTAGGGCTGTCAAAAATGTAATAAGGTATGGGTGGAACTGCTCTGGTGCAGGAAGTAAGTTAACACTCAACGTTGCCGTAAATGCCAACTTCAATGCCATTGCCATTGCTTATCCAAATCAAACCGGTGCTGCCGCTTTAAATGTGAGCGAAACTGTGGAGAGAGAATCCTATTCCTGGCGCCCTGGAGCACACGGATCCGTGCCCAGGGCACACGCACCTGGAAAACTCCGGTCGCTCCCGAAGGGCCCCGGCCGGGCTGGCTCGCTGCAGTTGTCTAAACCGTGCGCAGCTAGTAGTTCTAGGATACAATACATACAACATAAACCCAGCCATGGAATGTAAGGCGTGAGTTGCCAACAAGGGCCTTGAATTTGCTCTCCTGCTCTCAGTTCCGGCTGCAAAATGCGTTCAGCGCTCTGGCAATTGTCTAGCGGCGCTTCAATCAACGAACTGATGGACTAGTCGTGATGAGATGGTTAAGGATATGTCGTTCCCTTGGCGGGTTACGAGTATCGAATTTGTGATATAATAGACTACCTCCCCCTCCCAACCGCTCACCACTCACTATGTTCGCATGATCTGAATATAAATCCCGCATTGGTGGCTTACAATAGAGCAATCTGTGATTCAAAAAGTAGAAGCCTACGCCAAGCCTGTCAGGAAAGTATCATAGTATAGAAGCAGAGCTTCGGGCTGCAGCATTGTTGTCCTGCACATGTAAACCCCGCTGGAAGTTTAAGTGAGCTAAGTTAGAATCCCAGGATAGACTGAATTCATCTGACTATCTAGCTCTAAGCAGCAAAAGAGCAAAGAGGTCGTCCAAAGGCGCTATAGCAAAAACAGGAGTCTGATCTGACGAAATCCATCGCTCCTAAGCCTCATCCCAGTATATCGAAGCACCGAAAAGTCAATCTCCATAAATCGGCAACTACAAATAATCCCTTGTCCGCTCCTCACACCACTCCCAGAACTCCCTCGCCCGCCCGGAGCCCCCCTCCTCCTCCGCCGCCAGATGCCGGGCCAAGCCCGGCGCCACCCCCGGATGGATGCGGCCCCAGGGGATCACATACGCGCCGTTGTTTTCGGGGCGGTCGAGCTCCTCGGCGAGCGCCGCGTACAGCACCGTGGTCGCCGCCAGCGCCGGCTTGTGCAGCAGCGGCCACGAGAGCAGCTTCATCCACCGCGCGTTGCGGAGCAGGTTCGTATTGGCGGCCCCGGGGTTCTGGGCGACGCTGACCAGCGGCGAGGAGGCCGAGGCTGAGACCGAGCCGCTCCCGTAGCGACGTGCGAACTCCACGCTGAGGAACCAATTGCCCAATTTGGAGGTCACGTAGTTCCGGACGGCATCGCGCGGCGGGTGCTGCAGCTCTGAGAGCACGATGCCTTCCGGGGGCGCGGAGAGTTCGGCGACTTGGCTGCTGGTCCAGACGACGCGGGGGGCGATTGGTTTCGAGGGGGAGTCGGAGCTTGCAGCAGCAGCAGCAGCAGCAGCAGCAGCCTTAAGGTGCGGAAGGAGGAGCTGGGTGAAGAGAAACGGGCCCAGGCAGTTGGTCGCGAGTTGGAGCTCGATCCCTTGGGCTGAAACGCTGCCCAGCGGCGGCTGCGAGACCCCGGCATTGTTGATCAACAGGTCCAGTCGGGTTTCTCGGGCGGCAAAGGTTTCGACGGCGGATTTGATGGTGGTCAGATCGTCGAGATGGAGCGAGAGGTAGTGCAATTGGCCTTTCGTCGTAGTTGTAGCCGTAGCTTGGATTTGGTCGATGGCGGCCTGGGCTTGGGATTCCGATCGGCCCGCTATGTAAACCGTGGCTCCTTTGCTGTATAGCATGTTCACGAGTTCCAACCCAATCCCTGAGGAACCACCGGTCACGATGATGATTTTTCCTTGCTGCGAGGGCACGTCGGCCAGGGTGAAGGTCGGGCGTGGGGGGAAGAATTGCGAGAATTGGGCCCCCATCTTGTTTTCTTGTTTTGATGAGATATGATATGGGTTTCTTTGATGCGATTTGTAGATAAAATAAAGAAAGAGATGGCCAGGACAGTAATGCAGTGTGTAAAAAAGAGAGTGCGTTAAAGTAGATAGTTTGGTTCAGCGACGGGGGAGCGACTAGGGTTTATGTACTATTGACTTCCTCCCTCCCCCAGTAAACTACTAGTAGTACCCTCACTAGTACGGAAATTAGCGGAGATTACCTTAGTACCATATGATTCTTTGTTCGTTCAAGCTTTCACCTCCCCCTCCCCTTTCCGACATCCAATATTAACATTCCACATCACAATTTGATAACATTCACTCGGATGTATGACTATCCCCATCCCCAATTTGATCTATACCTGGTACCGCGGACAGTAGATACTCCAGACCAAATTCCCCACGTGACTGTGACGCACCGCCTCCAGGTATGCCAGCGTGTCGCGCGACAGATGCAACTGGCGGCGCGCCGCCTCGACGATCCCATCGAACTCGGCGATGTAGCGCCGGATCTCGGCCTCACACACCGCCAGGGCGGCCGCCTCGGACCGGCGATTCCCATGGGCGTCGCCCTCCTGCATGATGACCCACACGGCGTTGAAGACATAATCCACGCCCGCCAGCTCGGCGTCCGCCCGCTCCTTCTTCCACGAAAAGAGATCGTTGGTCAGGCTGATCGCCGCGTATCCCGGCCGGGCCAGCTTCATGCAGACCTCCAGCTCCTCGTCCGGGATCGTCAGCCCCATCCCGAAGGTCAACGTGCCGAACCAGATCCTGCATGTTTTTATCCCCGGTGTTAGTTGCATACATACGTGCACACACAGAGAGAGAGATGAAGGGGTGGTCTGCTCAACTTACAGCTCCCCTGCATCGATAATCCGCATGGGTAAGTACTCGGCCAGCGTTTGGGCGGGACGGACGCGACTGCGCGACGCCAGCTGGAGGAAGGTCGACCACGCCTTCATGGAGGTGACGGCCCGCGGCTTGTCGATGGTGAGCATCTCCTGGAAGACTTGCGCCTGCAGCGCGTTCGCTCGCGAGGCTGTTGTTTCTGTGGTTGTGGTGGAGGAGGAGGAGGAGGAGGAGGATGCTGTTGCGGAGGATGGGGATGGCTGCTCTCTTTGGTCGACACCAAATGAATCGACCATCTCATTCGATCGGGTAGGATCCTGATGGGAGCCGTGCATTCTTTAGTCTCTCTTGGCTCTCTGCTCCGCACTGCTTGGGGGAGCCGGTGGACATACGCGGTCATGGTCGATCAGCTTCTCCATTTCATCTAATCACGACTGCTATCAGTATGCGAATCGTGTAAAAGCGAGACGGAGGCAGGAATGCGGGAGGGAGCTTACCATCGTAGAGGAAAGCGAACTCATTCGCATAGGAGATTACCTCGAGACGCTCCGGCAGACACTCGGGGACGGTCACCTGCATGAAGCTGTACCGGGGGCCCAGTCCGCCGTGGTAGCGGTCAATGGGCCCGACGAGCTGGTTCCAGTCGGCCTGAGCCCGCAGCGCGCCTTTGGTCTCTCGGTACCCATCCCGGTGCACGCGCAGGGGGATTCCGTTCGCCAACCCACGGTCGTCGTAGGCATTGGGCTCCTCTAAGTATGAAAACTGATACTTCATCCTGGACGGGGACACAAAGAAACCGAAAAAAGGAGTTTGTAGGGCTTGCTGTGTGAGAGATAGGCTGAGGGGCAGTTCCGGCTTCTATATCTATACTATAAGAGGGGCGAAATTGGTCTGAATGGCAATGACAGACAAGGACATACACTCACAGAGAGAGGACCTTCGCTTGGCCAGAATATGGAAGGATACCCCTCAATTGCCGTTTTATGTCCTCCGTCTCCTCACCAGATGGCCAGCAGCAGCTGCAGCATCAGTATGAGCCTCATCCCCCCTCCTTTCCCCTGGGGGCCGGATATCTTGTTCGATCAGACAAAAGTCCACGGGTATTGTAGGATAGTCCACACATCTCCTTCAGTCACGATGTCAGGCCATAGTCACGGCTGTTGATATCCGTAAGGACAGTGTACACGGCCACCCGCACCTGGGCAAGCTATCAGTATCTTTCAAACCAGGAAAACCGGGCTGGATTGCGTGTTTGTTGGTATACAAGGCTTACAGCGGGTGAGGACGAGAGGACGCCTTGTGCAAAACGTACAGTACCGTACAGTACATGCTGTCCAGTACCACATCTGTTACATCCGTACTGTATAGTACATAACTTCGAAAAAAACTACAAGTACTGTATGTACTTATAGTAGAGTAGAGCCGCCACAGCCACCCAAGCGTTATGCAGTAAGCGAAGCAAAAGTCGGTCCCGTCCTTCCCGGAGATCGATAGGGTAGGTAAGTGAGGTGCTGTACTACTGGCATGTTACAAGCTTAACTACGGACAACAGCACTGCCGCATGCATGAATCTCAATATCCCGTCCGTAGTCCGTCTTTGTCCCGCAGTCCAAGACGGGAAGGAAGTTCGACCGTGTGCAGTATGCAGTAAAGATTTGAAAAGTAAGCACTAGACAGGACTGACCACCTACGCAGTTCCGTTTATTCAGTAGATGGATGGATAAGGTAAGCACTAGAGATGACCATAGTGGGGACGAAGTACTAAGTAACTTAGCCAGCGTGTTCATTGTTGTTGTTTATTCCACTTATTCCAAGTCATATCTTATCCGTCCCGTCCCGTGAACTGTGCACCACTGCAGTGCCGCGCTAAGCAACAGCAACAGCAACAGCACCAATGCCAACAGAACTTCGGCCCCCAATCACCGGCAGGATTTTGTCTCGCTTAGCTGGTGGCTTGACTGTGGATTGGTCGATATTCACAAAAATGTCTTTCCTTTTGGCCCCCAATGTAGCTCTGGACCATAGGATCTGTCATTAATGATCCCTGCTTTGGCTGGACCTGCACTTTGGACTTATTGATCAACTGCCTGTTTAGTAGTTACCGGTATGTATATGGCCCCATTTATCGCGATAAGGCAACCCCTCCCCCGGAGGATTTTAGGGAAGAGAATTCTAATCATCCTGCTTTAAGATTACTCAGTATAAGAAAACGAAAACGAAACAAGAAGCAAAGAAAGATAGCATAGACAAGTGATACAAGTTCTACAATCTCTTCAAGTTACTCCCCATTCCCGTAACTCTCCGTCTCTCCATGGCGCCTGTTCTTAAGAGGGATTGGTATGAGCGCTGAAGCATCTAGAGCGATTATCCTGCTGCACTAAGCAACATACATTGGACCTGCTGTACTGTATATCTCCCGATAAGTTACATTCTGTACCTCGATTCTTGCCTTGTATTTCGTTCATCTGCAAGTATGGCATTTGCCATTGCCCCACTACGGTACTATTGCCGCAGCAAGGCTCACTGTTACTATAGCCGCATGCACTATTAATCACGTACCCAGGGGGTTTGGGGGGCAAAGGGACCGCCTTACCCCGCTTACTGCATCAATTTGGTTGGTCTTTAGGAACATTCTTCCAAAACATGTTAGCTAAGTGACATCTGGACTACTCGATCCGGTTACAGTGTGTCTTTCATCAAGGGTGGGCTGTGTCTTCCGGGTATTAGTGGTCCCCGCTGGAGTTACTATAATAGTCTAGATCCTTCAGTGATCCTTTGAACTTGTATGCAGACTTGTGCAGTAACCCCATCCTTTGCAGCGCTTAAAACTAATAAACAAACACAACCAGTGACAGTAACCCATCCCCGAGGATATTTCAATTGCCCTGTGCATTGATGCACTGCATTAAATGGGGGCTGCGGTCTGAAGGGTACTCTAGCTTCCATTTGCCGGGTTACCCGGATTGAACTGTAGTATATTGCGAATTTTCGGACTCGATGATGATGGTTAGAATACAGAATCAGCGCGAACATAGCGGGAAATCCAAAGGAGACAGAAAATAAGAACCGAAAAGAAAACAGCAGCAAAGAAAAAAAAAAAAGAATGCCGAACATCCAACGCAATCAACGAATCAAAGCCCTCACGCCTTTAGTCGTGACCTTGGGGAGCGGGATCATGAAATCGTGGGCCTGGATCACATCCGTCTCATCGGTCTCGTACAGCTCCAACTTGGGGCCGTTCGGCCGGTACAAAACGGCCAGGATGAGAGACATCTCGGCCATTGCCAAGCTTCTGATGTATTAGCTTCGAGCCTCTTGTTGGGATGCCAGGGGAGGGGAAATAAACGTACTTTTGACCGAGGCAGTTGCGCGATCCGCGGCAAAATGGCACATACTGTTGTATCATGGCCGGGGTGACATTCTCGACCCAGCGCTCGGGACGGAAGGTCTTGGGCTCTGGGTAGACGGCGGGGTCGGAGTGCATGAAGTAGGCGGACATCCCTACGGGAGTCTGAGACATGGTAGGGTGCTTCTGTTAGCAGTGCAGAGAAGAATGGAATTTGATCGAGACCAGAACGTACCCCAATGGGAATTGTGTAGTCCTTGTACTGAATGGGCAGGTCGGGCGAGATGCGCGGTAACCGGTGCATGACGCCGTAACTGAGGCGCAGGGACTCCTTGATGATGGCCTGCAGGTACGGGAGACGCTCCAGCTCCGCCCAGCTGGGGACCCGGTCGGGCCACTCCGCCATCGGCTCGCGCAGCTCGTCCTGCAGCCGCGCCTTGATGGCCGGGTTGGAGAGGATGTAGTAGGAGGCGAAGCCGATGGTGCGCGCCGTGCTGGCCGTCCCGCCGCCCAGCAGCACCTGCGCCTCCTTGGCCAACCGCTCGGGCGACCGTTCGGAGTCCGGCATATCGCTGTCCGCGACGTGGTGGAAGAGCGAGGCGCTGCTGTATCCTTGCTGTTTCAGAGACTCCTTGTTGTTGAGGATCCGCTCGATGTTGCGGAGCGCGACCTGCATCGGCGAACATGTTAACTTATATTGAAGCAAGGCAGGGGCAATTGGGGCAGGACTTACGGCTTTGAACGTGTTGAAGACTTGCCCCTGTGGGAAGGCCTTGAGCAGGAAACTCTCTGGGATAAAGCTCACGAGCCTGTCATGCATCGCTAGGTCAGCGGCAGACACTCTTCCGCAAATAAATCTTCGCTAGACACTTACTGCACAATCCACGGAAAGCCGGTAAACAGCGGGATCGACCGCACGAGGTTGTGAATGAGATTATACCTGCAACCAATTCGGATCAGTCACCGAAAATCACACGTTCAGAAGAGCGGCTCTACCAGTCCGGTGCAAACAAGGGATCATCCAGGAACTCGTTGCCAGCATCCTCGCGGTCCAAGCAGATACGCCCAATGATGTCGCCCGAGAAGGCGGAGAACGCATGATCCAGTCGGATCACCGTGTGCGTGCCCTCGTATTCGCGCAGGCGTGCCTCGAGCTTGAGGGCGACTTCCGCCAGCATATCCTGCAGCCGGGTGATCCCCATACGAGAGAAGAAAGGCTCGAGGGGCTTTCTGCGCTTGCGGTGCAGGTTGTGGTCCACAGTCAAAAGATGCGAGCCTAGAATTCATTAGACTCGGCCTGGAAGGGAATTGCATTTGAAAATACAGAACGGCATGCATACCGTCGAAGTCAATGCCTTTGCAGAACACGTCGTAGTGGCTCGTGCGGCGCTTGCTCTCAGTGACATAGATCTCATTGTAGAACTCGGGATCATGAATAGACAGTTCGTCGGGGTTGATGCGCACAATGGGTCCTGGACAGGAAGAGTTCTCTCAGCACAAAATTCTCTTTTTGCCGCGGGGTGCTGCATCCGAGGGGACCCCGCAAACACTGCACATACCATAGACTTGATGCAACCGCTCGATCTCAAAGATATATTTGCCTTGTTTCCAATAATCAAAGTAGAACTCATACCAGCCGCTGATGGCGGCAAGTTTGGGCCCGGGAAACCTGGCCAGTGGAGAGAAGTACAGTCTGTAGATCGCGATGTATCCCCAGTACGTGAGGACCAGAGCGGCCGCAGCGGCCAGGGTCACTGGTGTACTCGCGATGATTGCCATTGAGTCAATAGAAAGATGAACTTGAACACTTAGAGCAGCGAGCCACATGGAATGTCTCGGTCACGATTGCTATATAAGAGGGCTTCCCGCAGCCATGCGGCTCTCGGGCATCGCTGGTGCGAAAAGCACCATCATCCTCATTGCATACGCAGAGTGGGTCGTGCAGGAAGCAAGACCCGTTGAGTCTCATCTAACGAACCAGGCAACAGGCAATGATTCTGTCCCCAATCATTAGCGGGATCACTTGGCTATCGTTTGTGCTCGAAGGAAGCGGCGGAGGGAATGGGAAGGATTGAGTCAGTGCTTAGGGATGGATGCCAGGCACAGTAAGCACTAAAGAAATGGGTGAGTATAGTACCTAGGGTGCCTACAGTACCATTGTACATTACGTTACATTACAGTGTAATACAGTACAGTGTATAGTAGAGACCGAGTTTTGCGAGTGGGTATTACAGAAGGTCAAGAAAGCTTGTGATGTGGCTGTTTAAAACAATTTATCAACGCTAGCTACTAGGTAGATGTTACTATACGGTACATCCGCAATCAGCCCTAACTGGGGGCGAAGGCGGATATGAACCTCCAAGAGCCTTGAACCCGTTATGAAGTACTAGACTAAGTACAGTACCTCAACTGGTACCTAGTACTCCGTAGTTACTATAACTAACGGTAACCACTAAGATAGAACTCAATTACCAACTACTTGGTAGTCTAACTACCTGCTAAGCTGCTAGGTAACTTATGTCGAACCTCAACCAAACCCTTTCCTCCCTCCCGCTCCCCTCCCGCCCCCAGCCCCACTGAATCATCATCAGGGGCCAGCCACTCGCACTCGCACCCACAAGGGTCGCTTTTCCACCAACAAGAACGTGCGTAGTTCCTCCCATTGCAATCGTTTCCCCTCCACAGCCTCGAAATCAAAGGTTACCAGGAGTTTGGCAAGAATTAGTCTCATTTCCGCCCAGGCCAGGTGCTGTCCCAAGCAGTTTCGTGGCCCCATACTGAACGGCTGCACGGCCCGGCGGTCATCATGGTGAAAAGGTGAGTCCGGATTGGACGAGGCATCTGCAAGCCAGCGCTCGGGGCAGAAGGAGGTAGCGGCATGAAAGCGGGATGGATCACGGTTCAGGGTGTAAGCTTGGAGAGAGACCGAAGTCTGGATGTGATCTGGTTTTAGCCCCCCCGCGCTTGTATGTAATGCGAGTTTGCGAAAGAAATAGAATGCGACTTACACCCTCGGGTAACCAGGTACCACACACCGAGTCTCCACCGGATGGCACTTGACGGGGCAACATCCACGGCACGGGCGGACAAAGCCGGAGCCCCTCTTCAATGACCGCGGTGAGATATGGGAGCTCCGTAGCCGCTGCCAGGCTGATCTCCATGCTAGACTGGAAATTCCCTCGAATTTCGCTAACCAGGCGCCCCATGATCTTCGGATTGTTCACCAAATAGGCTAGAATCCCCGTCAGCACGGTCGCAGTAGTCTCACTGCCGGTAGTCGTCAGGATCATGAAGGTCGCGTTGAGCTCCCCGCGCGGGAAAACCACTTGGCCGCTGTCTTTGTCGATGAGATGAGACATAATATCCGGTCGCTGAAGCTCCCAACTGAGCCGCCGATCGACCTTGTCCACAATCTGCTGGTAATGGCGTTGGCCCTTCTCCGCCAGGGATTTGGGGATACATTTCATCAGGAGCCACTCCAGCAGTGGGTAATACCGTGCCGCTGCAACAACGGAGGCAGCCTTGACACTGTTGAACAGCAGCGCAATCCAGGGATGATACTTGGAGTCTTGTAGGCAGTTAAAGGACTCGCCAAAGCCCAGGTCACCAAAGATATCAAACGTAGTGAAATTAAACCAGGGAGCTATGTCAATCTGGGCACCGGCCTTACCACCATCAGCAGCTTCCACCTGTTCTCGGATCCGTGCAACAAGAAGCGAGACGAACTTCTGCAGCACCTCCTCTTGGGTCCGGAGGGCACGCTGGGTGAAAGCTGGCGCTAACAGCCTTCGCATCGCTGCATGCTTGTCTGGGCTGATCGCACTCAAGAGGGAATCAGGCTGACCAGGCTGTCTGCGCCACCAGACCGGATCCTTGAGAAACTGTCGATCAGGTGGCCGGCTAGCATAGATAGCGGTCCAGCCCTCACCACTGGCAATGCTGACCTCGTCGGGCGCGGTCCGCACAACAGGGCCGTACTTACGATGCAGTTTCTCAAAGTCATGGACAATCGTGCCTCGGAGCAATCCCCAAATGAATGGCAGACGGGTGGCTGCCCAGCTGGTTGGTCCCGGAACATGTTTCAATGGGCTGAAGAAAATGTTGTAAAGGACACGGCTAATCGGATACTGGTATATGGTGGAAAGTCTTGGTTAATGAGGGCCCACCAAAGACAAAAACCAGAAGCGGGGAGGAGGGGGCATGAATGCATACAACCAACAGCAGGGAAATCACTATCTTCAAGAAACTACCAGTCATGATGGGCCGAGATAATTCTTGGTAGCTTAGTGAGTGGTGGGAGGAGAATTGGGGAATCATCTACTTAGGCAGAAGACGGACAGACAAACTAAATACCAGTACGGGCAGCACGAGCAGTGGGCAGGCAGGAGAGGAGGACTGCGGCACGGAACGATCCTCGCTAAGTTGCCCAGTGGTGATTCAACCCTGGCCACTGAGTTGTACAATACAGTACAGTACCATACATATCTCCAGTGCTCAAGTAATAACGGGTCAAACAACAGGCGACAATCATGCGCACCGCACTCTACAGTGTACTGTACCTTTGCATTCACTTGCAGTCTCACCTGCAGTCTCACTTGCATACTGCCCATCACTATCTCCCAATCAGCACTTCATGGCCCCCAACCTTGAACTTGGAAGACGACTAACACTCCCTCTTTGGTTTGCTTGCCACCATTCGAGTATTTCCCCTCCCCCTCCCACTCCAGCCCCCAAGGGCCAAATCTTCCCCCATCTTGTAGATACCGAGTAGCAACTTAGAAACCTCACCAGCATGGTCTGCCTTGCTGATCTTTTCAAGCTGTGCATCGACAATATATAACCTTGATCAACAAGAAACCCTCGTCTCAGTCCCCTTGTATCTCTTACCCCCCTCCCCCAAGACACACTTGCATCATGGCTACTCAGTGGATTGGTGTATTACAGCCTCCAGATGGAGAAGAGTCCAACCTTATCGATCCTGTAAACCAGCTGGGCAACAACATCGCGCTCCACACGGTATGCCTGACGCTGGCCACCGCTGGCGTTGCGATCCGAATCTATACCCGAGTTGGGATTCTCAAGTCGAAGCTTGGGCTGGATGACTGTAAGTCACCGGACGATGGCTCTCTCTGAGCTGATACTGACTCACAATTGACAGACTTTGTGATCTTGTCTTGGGTATGTACCATAGCCTCCTCCAGTGAGGTTTCCTTGAGGATGCAATAGCTGAATGCTGGTTAGTGTTTAACAGTGGCTTTCTCTGGCCTGATGTTTGAATGTATGAGGAGCTCTTGACGTGACTGAAAACTGCAAAGCCTTATTAACACATTGATAGCCTATCACTGGGGCATTGGACGACACATGTGGGATGAGCCTGTGACATGGCTGGTGCCAGCTCTCAAGGTATGAAGGGAGTTTTCTGGGCCGCACAGTATGAGTCCAGCGATAGTCTAACCCAAGCTCAACTGCGCAGTACTTCACGATCGCTCAATATGTGTACCTTCTTCTGACCCCAGCGGTGAAACTGAGCTTCCTCTTCTTCTACTATCGGATCTTCGCTCCCGATCGAACAATGCGATACCTTATCCTCGGCGGTATCGCCTTCGTGTCCATCAGCCACGTGACGGTATTTTTCCTTACTATTTTCTCCTGCACTCCCGTTTCGCACGCCTGGAACGAGTTCGGTGAGGGGAAGTGTTGGAACCCGACAATTCTGCCGTATCTTTCAGGCGCCCTCAGTTCGACGACCGATCTCTATGTCCTCTTGTTGCCCATCCGATCGTGTCTGGGATTGAACATGACTTTGCGACGGCGACTACGACTGCTGGCAGTCTTCAGCATTGGTATCTTGTGCGTGCATAACGTGATAATTGCGGCTTCGTGCTACCCGGTTGAGCTGCGAGCTGACTCTTAGTGATTCTCTCAACCACAGTGCATGCGTGACGAGTTTAATTCGACTGGGTCAGACGCATATTCTGACTGACAGTACGGATGCAACCTGGAATATTTCCCATATCGCTGTGTGGGCGTGAGTTTTCCCGACTCCATTGCAAAACAAGTCTTTGGTTAGGGCTCCTGAGCTGACCATGGGCGACTTGCCCAATACTTCCAGCGTCCTCGAGTGCAATGTGGGGATCTTCTGCTCCTGCATGCTTCTCCTCCCGCGATTCGTCGAGCGGTACTTTCCCAAGGGTGTAACCTCGTATTTCTCACGTCTCTGGAGCAGCAACGGGGGAAGCAAAAAGGAACGCAGTGTCAGCAACGGACCTTGGAAGGATGGGTCCTGGCAGTCCCCGAAGCCGTGGGAGAAGTCTGCCAGCAAGCCCGCCGCCATTGAGCTGGGTTCAACGGAAAGCTTGAACAGACAGTCCCTGACAGTCTAGACAGATCAGGGGGCTTCATAGCTTCGTAGTGGGTGTTGCTGTTCAGTCGGTGGAGGGGTTGAGCGCGGGGTCTGTCTTCCCCGTCCCGTGTCCTGTATATAGTGTATGTACATAAATTTTGACGAATGTTTTTGCACAATTTACTTCGTATCAGACTACATCTGCGTGAGATGCCGGTGACGAACGTTCATGTAGGCGGAAAAGCTTACTGGGTACTCATTACAGTGCATACTATGATGTCGTCCTCGTCAAGTCCTACTGCCGAAATGGGTACACTAAGATAGTGGCTAGTAGTGGGTCGGTCTGACTTGGGGGCGCTTTTTCGCCCTCTCTGCCGCTGTCCTGCCCAAGAAGAATCTTACAGTCTCACGATCTGATGATCGTACAAACTTACAAATTGACAATTTAAAAATTCACAATTTACCAATCTTACAGCTTTACAATCTGACAGCCTTTGCAATTGCAAGATACACCGCAGCCCCAAAGTACCGCCCAGGTCTTATCCGTCCAACTAAGCCTCAATCCCGACATCCGTGCATCTGCCACTCATCTGCCCAAGTCAATGCTTGTGCTGTACGTGCAGGCGCCGGGGCGAAAAAAAAAAAGAAAAGAAAAGAAATTAATGACACGACAAAACAAGCAGAGAATTGATCATGATAGCTTGCATACACCTGGCATAGGGGCTAGGCAGCTCGGGCTCCGATCTACCCGGCATCACAAGTAAACACAAGTAAAGTTGGTAAGAATATCTGATATCTAGTATATAGTTAGTATGTGCAGACCTATTGTAGTACTAGGTCCAGTGCTAACAATCCTGCCACTTCCCAGGCCCCTCCTCTAGACAGCCCCTCCCCAACTTCATTCACTCTCACTGCCCCTTGCCCTTCTGAGCAATACCAATCTGACAAGGTCTGACAAGGCGAGAGGCTCCAAAACGGCTTCTTAGCTATATAACCCCGCCTCGACTTTGCATACCTTTTCAGCCTCCTAGCTGAAGCAGTGTACTGCGGTGGGAGATCTTCTTCCAATTCTTTTCATTCAACACACAGACTCCTAAGGATGTCCCCGGTACTCGACAGAGATATGAAAGGGGTCATGTCGACCCCCAAGGAGGCGCGTTCGATGGTGAGGGAGCTAATGGATACAAACCTTCCCTCCGCTACGACAACGGTATTTATGCCATTTATCTCCCTGCCATGATCAGCACCTCATCCGCTAGAGCTCAGGAAGAGAGAACAAGGGGAGAAGAAAAGGGTTGACACAACTGTCCCTCTAGCCAGCTATAGCTCCATTTCAATATTTATCATCCCTACCCTCCAAGGGCGTTCGACATACAATCGTTGAAGCGTTGAGAACGTGGATCGACATCCCGGATGACTTTCTCCCCGATCTGCTGTCCATTGTGGGCGATATACACAACATCTCATTGATGTGCGCGGCAGGCCCCCTTCATTCTCCCAGCTACTTTGCACCGGTCTGCAGCCACTAATCGCGTTTGTCAGGCTCGATGATGTCGAAGATGGATCGCCATTGCGACGGTCCAAGCCCGCCGCGCACTCCGTGTTTGGCGTCGGACAGACGGTCAACTCGGCTACGTTTCAGCTGGTGGAGGTGATCGGTCGCGTCGCGCAGGTGGCTGGACCACTTGCCCAGACTATCGTATTGGGTATGTGGCTTTTTAGGACGGCTATGGGCCTCTTTTTCCCGCGCATCAACCGATGGATGTGCCGATTCTGATCGATTTTCTGTAGAGGAACTGAAGAATATGCTCGTCGCGCAGAGCCTGGATCTGCATTGGGTCCAACACGCGACACCACCGAGTTCGCAGGAGTATCTACAGATGATTGACGGTAGTACGTTTGTCCCACTGCGACCCTGAATGCGCATACATCCCCAATCTCCCTCCTTGAGAATCACCCACGGACTTCATACTCATGTGTCTGAACAACAAAAACAGAAACGGGCGCCCTCTTCCGCCTCATCGCCCGCCTAATGATCGCCCAACAATCCCCCTCCAGCACCACCAACCCTCCCTCTCTCGACCGCCTGATGATCCTATTCGGACGATTCTTCCAGATCCGCGATGACTATGCGAACCTTGCAATGGACCAGGTATTTCTTTAAAGCACAAACCCCTCCAGCCCCGACGCTCCCTGCCTCCCCCCCCCTCCCCCCACCTGGCCGATCACCAACCACTAACCCCAAACCACCAAAACAGTACCAAGACAGCAAAGGCTTCTGCGAGGACCTCGACGAAGGCAAATGGAGCTTCATCCTCCTGCACGCGCTGGCGCACGCCACGCCGCCCACGCGGATGGTGCTGATGAACGTGCTGATGCAGCGCCACGCGACGGGCTGCGCCGGCCGCGGCCACAAGGAGCTCGTGCTCGACATCTTCCGGCACGAGACGCGCTCGCTCGCCTTCACGACTGAGGCCCTCTGGGTGCTGGGCCAGCAGATCGAGCTCGAGATCCAGGCCCTCGAGCGCGCCACCCTCACCGCCAACCCCGTGCTCCGGGAGATGGTGCGCAGCTTGCAGGTGGGGTTGACGCCCCCCGATGGGTATGGCTTTGAGGAGGTGGGTGGCGGCGGCGGCGGCGCGGTTGGGCACGGGGCGAGGATATCTGAGGGGGTGCTGGGGTTGTCGTGTTAGGAGGTGGATGCAAATGGGCTTTGGGTGGAAGCTGAAGCTGAAATATCTCTAGAAATCTTGGTCGGGATTCGGGGGCTTGTGGATGAGGGCGGTGTTTAGGGCCTGCTTATGTCTTTCAGTTTTGTATCTGAGACATGGGTATGTACGGCTTTTGGGAAGATGGTTTGATGTTATTTGGAGCAGCCTCGCAATTGCGTGAGTTAACTTCCATCCTCAGCTTACGATGTAGCACGGTTAACTCTTATTAATTCGAGGCGTGTGTACTTTGCTGTAGATTAGAGGACTCTTCCCTTACAGAGGTGTATATGCCAGTGGAGAAACAATAACGTCTAACACAACAGTCAGATCTGTGCTGGCAGTCTTTCGTGATATGGAAAGGCGGCCAGCTAAAAGCGCAGCGCAGCGCAGGGAGTACCAACAGTAATATTATCAATGAATAAGTAAGTGTGTGAGTGTGTAGATGTCTGTACATACACGGGGCGTCTACCACATCAGCCGGCTGCATGCAACATACTTGTTCGTTGTGTCAAACATGATAGTGGACAACACAACGTGACCCGCTGAGACTACTGAGCCTTGAGGCTCTCACACTACGCTGCCGAAGCCTTTCTCTCAACTCTTCACATAAAGTGGGGCCTATGCTCGAGTGCGTTTTTATAGGGGCGCATGAAGTTCGAGTCAGTCTACGAGACCTTCTGTGTGGACAAACTACCTACCTACGTGATGCTGAAAGCTGTGGATTGAACTCGATATTGCACTATGACAATAGCACCGGACATCCAGACGTTTTCTTTGTCCAGACTAGGTTTGATATTACCTTTATCTGGAATGTTGACTTGTGGCTTGTGACCGCTCTGCAATGTGCCATATGGAAATTAGGTAGGTGTGTTTTTCTGTGGATTGGTCTAACCGGGCGCATCGGATATCTACTGCTGACAGTCTGGTTTATGGTATCTGAAGACTTTTTTTTTGTTTTTCTTCTACGCCCTATGGACGGACTGTCTCTTTTCTTCGTGGTGAATAGACGATCATTAAAAAATGCTACGCGTAGACCAGTGCCAAGGCGCCTGGCGCAATGATAATATGGTCGATGCCGCGAAGTTAGGGTAGAGTGGCTATCGTGTATTCTTCGGACTTAAGCCACGAGTGCTTGAGAACAAGTTGAGGCTCATATCGTCGAGTGTCTTGGGATATAATCATGTTCACTTTCGGGCTTGACAAGATAATCAAATCCAGTAGGGCTGGATGTTTTGGGATAGTTGTGCACAGTTTAGCTGGGTTGCGGTCACATGACTAGTATATGCTAGCTCAGGTCACCGTTGCTTCCAGAGCAATTCGGGACTTCCGGGGGGACTCGCTCAGGACACGCAATGTTGTGCTCTCTCCACGCCCCGGGGCCGCGCAGTGGGCCAAAAGCGGCGTCAATTCGGGCCTAGTACTGTAGTGGAACAGAAAGGGAAAGTGACTTCCATCACTACTGCATTGATCACTGATGGATACCGCAGAGATCCAATTCGGTATTACCTCCTATTGATGGGAGGAGTAGATCCCTGGAAATACCAAGACCGGTATCAGCTTTCATGGTTTCCTGAGACTCAGAATGATTTCCTGTCATTAAAATCACTGCCCTTAACTCTGGTGACACTTCTGGTTCAATCATATATCAGGTGAGTTTGGCACAATTCTTAATCTGCAATAATTATTTCTCGCCTGTGGTCCCAGAACACGCACCTCAGCAGCCGGGCTCACTCCATGATCAGGGAATGTTCAAGTAAGTCACTTAGCGGCGGCGGCGGCACCTCAGGCCGAATCCGGAAAGAGAAGCCATCCACTCACTACTTACTGCAGTGGCATCTCCCCACTGACCACCCGGAGTGGTTCCGCCAAGATTTTATATGCGATGGTCGAGATGAATTCGCTCTGGTTTGTGCTTGGTGCTGCTGATCATGGGGGTACCGTTCTCGATTCTGATTGCGTTGTTTAGCCGTGCTGGCTAGTGACTGGCACTGTGACACCCGCGGGACCCTCAGTGGATGGGGAAAGAGACGACATTTCGGACGACGGACAGAGAGAGTAGCATAAAATGTGGGTAGCGGCCGTCGGAGCTGCGCCAAATGGCTTATGCTCAAATCCGCAACCGGTTGCGAAACACCGGATCGAAGTCGAATGTTGATGGGAGGATTCGACTGGAGATTTCGAGTTCAACTGTCAATTCTGAGGAAGCAGTAAAGGAAAAAGAAAAGGAATCAGACCAAAGCTATGGAATGGGGAATGGTCCGGGTCCAATAGTGGCCGGTTATGAGCTGTGGGTTGATCGCGTTCACGGAAAGAAAGAGTGAGTGAGTGAGTGAGTGAGTGACCGACCGACCGACCGACCGACCGACAGACCATCCCCAGAGTCGCATAGCTTCCCATCTCGCGCCGCCGTTCCTGAAAATCACCCCTCCCACGGTCAACCAGAGTTGCCGTCAGTCATCCCAATAAACGTTGCCAGTATAGAAGAGAATCAGCGCCCCCCTCCACCGGTTATTCGGTTCAGAGATCTCCTGTTCTCCGCCCGGAAGTACTGCGACAGAGCCAGGGCCACGGAGACAAGGAGAGAGCCCCATAAAATAGCCGAACCGAAAGGCAATGGCCGCGATCGACCCGAGACTCCTACGAGTATTGTATCATGTATGGCAGATAACGTTACCAATTGGCCTGGATGGCTGATCGACAAGGGCAATCTGGGCACCTGAAGGTCATTGTTCTGATAACGCCTACCTAGGTAATCATCGAGCACTGTCCAAGGGAACCACAGAGCCCTACCCTGCCTCGGCAAGTGGACAAGCAGATGTTCGTATAGTTCTTCCCCCCGCAGGAGGGAAGAAGTCCTTGGTGTGACATGATATCCAGATTATGCTGGAGATCGGTCAGCCTCAAACACACGTGTTTTGGTCATCGCCCTACATCCTCCCGCTCAAATCATCAACCTTTTCATGAATCACGAACAACAATTACCTAGTCTAGGTGGTGGTAACCGCCTCGTGCTCGGAATATCCGGGGCGGTAACATTTCCTAGTTAGTCTTTGGTTCTGTCTTCTGTCTGTCTTATGATACCCCAGGCCGTCTCTCTGTCCGCAAACAGATACATCTCGGAAGATGCCACTAAAGCATTCCAGGTGGGCGCAGCGCTCCCCCAACAATCGAAGAGATTACTTTCACGTCCGGTAAGGTTTTTGAGTTTGATCCCCCGCACGGCACAAGCGAGCTCTGTTAGTCATTTACGGATTACCCTCCAATCGAGGCCGGGGTGGCGGTTCTTGTGATGTTACCTCCCCGCGCTCTTTCCGCTGACGGGCTGTCTTGGATTCCTGGGCTGCTCAAATGAGTGCTGGGGTCAATCATTCCCTTCGTGTTCGGGGGGAACTTTGAACTACTTAGTTATAATGAAGCCGAAGGGAATGGGACCCTGGAAAAAAGCGAGTACCCAGCTTCATCGCCATTGGACCATTGTCATACCACCCGCGTGGTTTGAAGTCGACTACAGCAAGGAAAGGAGCTAGTGGGAAGGAATAGATTGAGATGGAAGAGTCGCAATCGACTAGTCCATGCATCCCTAAGCACTGAAATGCGACTTTGATCGTCGCTTGCCTTTCCCCGGAGGAACGGAAACCAAAGGCTGTCAAGCCCCGCATGGCCGAGCCCAACCTTTTTGCGGCGGCGTGACCAGACTAACCAGGTTGTTTCCTAGTGTCCCTAGTGTCCAAAATAAGTCAGACAGACCTAAGGAGATTTCATTTTCTCGGTCTGATTAGAACCATGATTGAGGTTGGGGTTCGATTGGAGAGGGAGGGAGGGAGGGAGGGGGGGGCAGCATGGGCGGGAAAAGACTGTGCCTGCTAAGGGCTTGCTTATCAAGGAGGGGCCCGCATTGGTTTGTTGTTAGAGGATGTAATTAGGGTATCAAGTGTCGGGCCTCGTCCACTATACTAGGTACCTAGTAGTTTTAGTACTGTACTTATCCAGTCAACAAGGAAAGGGGAAGAAACAGGATAACTCCATTCGGACAAGGTCAATGGCATCACCAGCTGCAGCTGTACCGTTGTCGGGTAGGAGGAAGACAGCCCCAGCTCTCGGATCTTGCTCAGAGCTCAGATTTTCGGGGTCAGCACCACCACCACACCACTGAACTGACCCATGGACCGGTTTGACTTTATGGGGAACGGATGGAGGGAGGAAGGGAGGGAAGGAAGGAAGGAAAGAGGGAAAGAGGTGGGAGGAGGGAAAGGAGGAAAATCGAGCAATTACACCGGAGTGACAGTACGGTAACTCTGTTCTTGTCGGTCTGCCACTGTCTGTCTGTCTGTCTGTCTGTCTGTCGCTGTTTGTCTGTCTGTCTGTCTGTCTCTCTGTCTCTCTTAGTCTACTCTCCCCACTGTGGGCGCGACACCGGGGGAGCGGGACTGACTGACTCTCTCAACAATAATAATAATAATAATGATAAAATAATACTACCTTTACCACTTCGACTACCACCACCATCAAGAAAGACTCCATCGGACATTCTTAAATATCGGTGCCCCAATCCCTCCCACCCCCGGTCCCTGAAAACAATTATCTTTCTTCTTTCTCTTCTCTCCCCTTCTTAACTTCATAATTTCCATCTTTCCCTTCCCTCCTCTCCTCTCTTTCCGGTGTAATCTCCCCATCTCAACGCAGCCTCCCCCCTCCCCCCCCCACCATCAACCAACCAGTGCTGGTGCATATCAGTAAGTCGCCCGCGCAATCTCCGTCTCACGTGCCTGCCCCGATCCTCTTCATTGCGCCGGAGACTGAACTGACTCTGTTCGTTTCACCCCTCCATAGAGCCCAGCTTCCCTCGACTCCGAATTCCCAGTTGAAATTCCGTTGGGACACTCATAACCAATCAAAAACATGGCGGACGGCAGCATCACGCCTCCCAAGCCTGCCGTGGTAAGAGAAAAAAATTCCCCACGCCCACGCCTTGGGCCGAGAAATCTCCGGGTCTCCATCTGCTAATTATTCTGCCATTGGGTCTACAGGTGCTTGAGGCCCACGATGTTGATACTTTCCACGTTCCCCAAGCTTTCCACGAGAAGCACCCCTCCGGTCCCCACTTGAGAGATCTCGACGAATACAAGAAGCTCTACGACGAGTCGATTCGCAGCCCCAACACTTTTTGGGCTCGCATGGCCCGCGAGCTCCTCACCTTTGAGAGAGATTTCCAGACCGTCCACACCGGTTCTCTAGAGAATGGTGACAGTGCTTGGTTTGTCGAGGGTCGCCTCAATGCTTCCTTCAACTGCGTCGATCGCCATGCCATCAAGAACCCCAACAAGGTCGCCATTATTTACGAGGCCGACGAGCCCAGTGAGGGCCGTACGATCACCTACGGCGAATTGTTGCGCGAAGTATCCCGAGTTGCTTGGGTCTTGAAGCAGCAGGGCGTTAAGAAGGGTGACACCGTCGCCATTTACCTGCCCATGATTCCCGAGGCTCTCATTGCTTTCCTCGCCTGTGCCCGTATCGGTGCTGTCCACTCCGTCGTCTTCGCCGGTTTCTCCTCCGACTCTCTGCGGGACCGTGTTCTTGACGCCGGTTCCAAGGTCGTCATCACGACTGATGAGGGTAAGCGTGGCGGCAAGGTCATTGGTACCAAGCGCATCGTCGATGAGGCACTGAAGCAGTGCCCCGATGTGACGGGCGTTCTCGTCTACAAGCGCACCGGCGCAGAGGTTCCCTGGACCAAGGGTCGTGATGTCTGGTGGCACGAGGAGGTCGAGAAGTACCCCAACTACTTTGCTCCCGAGTCCATGAGCTCTGAGGATCCTCTTTTCTTGCTCTACACTTCCGGCTCCACTGGCAAGCCCAAGGGTGTCATGCACACCACTGCTGGCTACCTGCTTGGAGCGGCCATGACGGGCAAGTACGTCTTTGACATTCACGATGACGATCGTTACTTCTGCGGTGGTGATGTCGGTTGGATCACCGGCCACACCTATGTTGTGTATGCTCCTCTCCTGCTGGGTTGCTCGACGGTGGTCTTCGAGAGCACCCCCGCCTACCCGAACTTCTCCCGCTACTGGGATGTCATCGAGAAGCACAAGGTCACGCAATTCTACGTGGCCCCCACCGCCCTGCGCCTATTGAAGCGTGCTGGCGACGAGCACATTCACCACAAGATGGCCCATCTGCGCATTTTGGGATCGGTCGGTGAGCCCATCGCCGCCGAAGTCTGGAAGTGGTACTTCGAGGTTGTCGGCAAGGAGGAAGCCCATATCTGTGATGTATGTGCGAGTCGATTGAAGGCGCAATGGTTCTTTTGGCTAATCTGTGGCATTGTGACAGACTTACTGGCAAACCGAAACCGGCTCGAACGTGATCACACCTTTGGGTGGCATTACGCCGACCAAGCCGGGTAGCGCATCGCTTCCCTTCTTCGGTATCGAGCCCGCTATCATCGACCCTGTTTCCGGAGAGGAGATTTCGGGCAATGATGTCGAGGGAGTGCTTGCCTTCAAGCAGCCCTGGCCCAGCATGGCCCGGACCGTGTGGGGTGCCCACAAGCGCTACATGGATACCTACCTGAATGTCTACAAGGGCTACTACGTGAGTACCTCCAGTCATCGATCTCCATGTGTGTCGCTTAACAGTGTGGCTAACTTGTGGTTCTTTAGTTCACCGGAGACGGTGCTGGCCGCGACCACGACGGATACTATTGGATCCGGGGTCGTGTGGATGATGTTGTCAATGTTTCTGGACACCGTCTGTCCACTGCTGAAATTGAGGCTGCTTTGCTCGAGCACCGTAAGTGATTCAATCCCCATTCCGAGGACGGGTTCCTAACATCTGCATAGACATGGTGGCTGAAGCTGCCGTTGTTGGCATTGCCGACGAGCTGACCGGTCAGGCTGTCAATGCCTTCGTGGCTTTGAAGGAGGGTAACGAGACCACCGACCAGGTTCGGAAGGACTTGATCATGCAAGTTCGCCGCTCTATCGGGCCGTTCGCTGCCCCTAAGGCCGTGTATGTGGTTGAAGATCTTCCCAAGACTCGCAGTGGCAAGATCATGCGTCGCATTCTGCGCAAGATCCTGAGCGGCGAGGAGGACAGCCTTGGTGACACCTCCACCGTAAGTTTCATCTCCCTCGGATCATTCTTCAACTAGCGCTCACGCAAAAGCAGCTCTCCGACCCCTCGGTGGTTGATAAGATCATTGCCACGGTGCACGCTTCCCGCGGCAAATAAGTGTTTTGTCTTCAGTGAATGATATTAATGAAAGCGAGAGTTGGGGGGACATGTGACACTGCCATCAGCACAGGTGTGGTCTGGATTTATGCTCCTGAGCTTTATGATGTCTGAAGGCGGAGTTTGATTCTTTTTTCTTGTTATCTTGTGATTCCCATCATGATCAGAACTGCAGCATTCTGATGAGCTGTCAATCTTCTCTACGTATATACCAATGATGAAAGAAGTTTTTCTCGGGCCTGGTGGGTGTATACTCAGAGTGTTGTTGTATTGTGGAGTGTTGTAGTACCTGGGTAGTGCAGTCGAATGCGAAACTACCCACTTATCTGTTTGTCACTTCATAGGATATACAATGAGGAGCTCTACTCTTTTGGCCTGGTGTCGGTTCATAAGCCGGCATACTTGGGTTCTCTCCTTATAGCAGGAAAAACGCAGCACCTGGCCGTATGTTATGCTATCATTTTCAGAACGGATCAGTTTGCTTGTAACTTGAATTTGACGGCAAGAGTCACCTCGTAAATATATACACTGTATCTTGTACACCAATGCGTCATTCAGAGTGAACCTACACCCTGAAATTCTCAAAAAGACAGCTTTATCAGCCCTGAATCACAGTAGCCTCACATACCTCGTGTTTAAATAACGCCCAGCACCATCTGGGGAGGGCACAACTGATTGCAGAGAGTAATCCTCAGGCAGAAATTGCTCAGTTTCGCGGGTGGTTTCAGGCCGCGAGATCTCACGTGAGCAGCTGGTAACGGGGTGTATTTACAGCCAAAGTTACCGGATGATTCTGCCTGAAAGTCCCCGAATTGCCCGCGGATCAGTCTGTACCGGAAACGTAAGCGAGCAAGTCACCGCCTGACCGTCGCCGCCTCGTCCCTTTTGCAGCAACCTCTTTCCCTTCTGTCCCTTCGTACTTCCTCTCCGTCGCGCGCCCTCCTCCTCTTTCGACCAGCTCTCTGGCTTCTTCTCATCGTCGCCTCTCCAGTTCAAGGACGCTGAACTGCATCTCCGCTCTTGACGGTGACGTCCCGTCTCTAGCTGGCGAGACATTCTTACCCTGCTGTCCTTCCCACCCACAAAACACCTCTCCTCTTGGGCGCGTCGAGATCTCGGCTTCTCAATCCACAACCTTGGAGCTCGTCGCTTCGCACCCTTCGCAACGCGCCGTGATCGAACCCATCTCACACGTAATACCGCCTTTTTCGGGACATAGCTCGCATCAAAACGTTGACGTGGACGAGCATTCGGCCTTTCAGTTGGAAAACGTTTCGGAACGGATGAACTCATAAGTCGCAATCACTCAACCTGCAAGATGTTCGGAGGAGGATTCGGACAGAACACTCAGCAGAGCTCCGGCTTTGGATCCGGCAATGCATTTGGTGGAGGCACAAATACTGGTGGAGGTAGGTTTTGATTTGTTAACGAGCTTCGTACCTGCTTCTTTCCCTTTCGTATTCCTGCTTCCGCCCTGGTGTTTTCTTGGTTTTTCTCAACACTGGCTCGGTACCCCCCAATCGACCCAGTAAAGGAATCCAATCTGGCTCGTGCTTTGGACGTCAACCCACAGCAGCTTCACCTCAGACTCATCGACATCTCGCCGCCGTGTCGAGACCTTTTACTTTCCTTTCCGACGTCAGGTAGCACGGCAGCACTGCAAGAGAAGGGATCGCGGCTTCAGTACAGTCTCTGACAGCATCTCCCACGTCATCTAGGCTTTGGATCTTCACCGTCTCCTGCTTTTGGAGGTGGTAACACATCAGGCGGTGGCCTGTTTGGAAACACTTCCAGTAGCTTCGGTTCCGCTGGAGGTACGTGCTCGACGACTATATTTCCATGGGCTTGGCGATCCTTTCTCTTCCATCTGTACCTTGGGGCGGACCCCGCGATTTCCGACATATCAACGGTCGGGCCAGACTGCAAACACTGCCGCTCTGAAACCGTGGACGACTGGGCTTGTCTCTCGCGGCCCGGAATTTTCCCTCGAACAGGAAAATTCGAGTCCCATCCGCCTTCTGCCTGCCAAGGACATATGGAAATTAAAATTCGTCACATGCTCTAAGGATCTTCGGCTGTAGGCTGTTCGATAGCGTCGCTAACACTACTCCTGCTTTTCTAGGTTTCGGCGCCAATACACAGACACAGTCAAACTCCTTGTTCGGTGCGGGGCAGAATCGCACCAGCGGCTTTGGCAGCACTCCGGGACCCAGTACCGGCGGCAGTTTGTTTGGGTCAAACAACACAGCGACCTCAACAGGTAATACCGGCTTTGGCGGCTTTGGCTCCGCTGTGAACACCGGCGGTGGCTTTGGCAGCAGTGCTGGAGGTGGTGGACTGTTCGGTGCCAACAAACCCGCCAGCGGTTTTGGGAGCACCACTGGTACTACCGGCTTCGGAGCCAGCGGTGGCGCCAGCACCAGCGGGTTTGGAAGCGGAACAGCACCGGCTTTTGGTGGTGGTAGCGGTACCGCGTTCAACCAAGCTGTTCCTCCCTCCGAAGGCACCGGCTCCACCCCGTTCACTCCCTTTACCGAAAAGGACGCCGCCAGCACCACTACCAATCACTACCAGAGCATCGTGTTCATGCAGCCTTACAGCAAGTATTCGTTCGAAGAGCTTCGGTTAGGCGATTACAACGGAGGCCGTCGGTTCGGCAACGGAAGTGGACAAGCAGGCGCCTTTGGTGCTTCCGCCTTCGGCAGCTCTGGCTTCGGTGGTCAATCCACTGGATTTGGAGCTGGAAACACTTCTTCACCATTCGGCGCAAACACAAGTGCCCCGTCGGCTTTCGGCAGTCAGACCCAAACCACAGGCGGCTTTGGCACTAGTAATACCTCCAATCCGTTGTTCGGAGCTCAGAAGCCTGCCAACACTTTATTCGGCGGTGGAACGCCAGCTGCTGCTACCACTACTACCCAGTCGGGCCTGTTCGGCAGTAACACGGCAACCTCGGGTGGCTTTGGAAACACTACCGGGAGCACTGGATTCGGTTCCGGGGGGCTGTTCGGCAACAGCGCCAACAACACCCAGCAACAGAACAAATCTCTCTTTGGCGGAGGTAGTACCTCCACCGGCGGGGGCGCATTCGGCGGCTTCGGCACACAAAACACGAGCACAGCCTCTCCATTTGGCGGCACCGCAGCTACATCTTCTCCGTTTGGAGGTCAACAGCAGCAGTCGGGCGGGGGTTTGTTTGGTAGTGGTACCGGCTTTGGCCAGCAAAACCAGGCTCAGAATCAGGCACAGACCCCGAACAAAGGGCTATTTGGTGGATTTGGCGCTAACACCCAGCAGCAGCAGACGAGCACCCCGAGTCTTTTTGGCGGCAGCAACACCGGCACCGGCACCGGCACCGGCACCACCGCCACCTCCCTCTTCGGTCAAAATCAGCAGACCCAACAACCTGCGAGCGGCGGTTTGTTCGGAGGCAACAACGCCCAACAACCAGCCCAATCGAACTCTCTTTTCGGCGGATCGCAGCAGCAAGGCCAGAAGAGTTTGTTTGGAGGGGCTACGACGGGCACGGGCACGGGCACGGGTACGAGTGCATTCGGAGGATTCGGCAACACCCAGAACCAGCAGACTGGTGGTGGCTCGAGCCTCTTCGGCGGTGGTGCGGCCCAGCAACAGCAGAAGCCGAGTCTCTTCGGTGGAGCTGGGGCCTCGGGCGGCAGTCTCTTTGGAGGCGGCGCGAGTACTACCACACCGGCTGCAACTGGATCCCTCTTTGGCGGCGGCGCGAGCCAGAACCAACAACCGACTACCCTGGGAGCCTCCAGCCTCTTTGGTGGCAGCCAATCTCAGCCCGCACAGCAGCTGGGCCAACAACCCGCCCCCGGTAGTCTGCAGGCCTCCCTGCTGGAAGGAAATCCCTACGGCAACCAGTCTATCTTCTCTGGTCTGCCAGCACCCAGCGCTGCAAGTCCCGGCCCCTTAGCCACGCCGCTGTCGTCCTCCAACAAGCAGAAGCAACGCACTCCTCTTCCCGTTTACAAGATCACCCCCACCGCCGCAAATCGCCTCCTGACTCCTCCCAAACGTGGCTACGGTTTCTCGTACTCCACATACGGATCTCCATCGAGCACTGCGAACACTCCAGGCGGACTTGGTGGTAGTGTCCTCGGAGGCAGCATGCGCAGCAGCTTCAATGCTAGCAGCTTGGGCCGCACCAGCTTCAGCAAGAGTCTTTCGACCAGTAACCTACGAAAGACATTCGATCCCGAAGCCGATAGTGTTCTTTCCCCCGGTGCCCTCTCTTCCGGTAGCTCTCGTCTGTCTAGTGGAAGCCTGAAGCGTCTGACTATCGACCGAAGCCTAAGGAATGACTTGTTCACGCGCTCGACCAGTACTCCTCCTCCTGCAGCCATCACTAACGGCGAAGAGGCTGCCACTCCTGCGGACAAGGGAAAGAAGAAGGTCAGCTTTGAATCGTCCCCCGAGCTTGCACACACTGGCGGGGAGATTGTGCCCGTCGAAACCCAAAGTCCCGAGCCGACCCCCGAGGAGCTGGGATTCCTGCGTTCCGTCCGCAAGAGTGGCACAATCAACGGCGTCAACGGCACCAAGACCCCGGAGACCACTGCTCGTCCTGAGATGGAGTCTGTCCGTAACAACGATTTGCCCGCTGCCTCGGAGCCTGCGCAACCGACCGCGACCAACGCCGCCCTAAAGCAGCTCTCTTTCATTCCCGGCGGGGATCCGCAGCCCGGCGAGTACTTCATGAAGCCTACTCGCGCCGAGCTTAGCAAGATGAGCCGCGAGCAACTGAAGAAGGTGGTGGGTTTCACCGTGGGACGTGAGCACTGCGGTCAGGTGACTTTCGATGAGCCCGTGGATCTGACTACCATCGATCTGGACAATGTCTGTGGGGGACTTGTCGACATCGGAGTGCGGAAGATCACCGTCTACCCTGACGAGACCATCAAACCACCCCGGGGCAAGGGCTTGAACGTCCCGTCTATCCTTCGTATCGAAAACTCCTGGCCCCGTGGCCGCGACAAGAAGTCGCCCTCCCCCCTGACAAGTGGCCCGTTGTTCGACAAGCACGTCGATCGGTTGGTCAAGGTGCACAACACCGAGTTCATCGACTACGAAGTGGAAACCGGCACGTGGGTTTTCAAGGTTCCTCATTTCACCACCTATGGTCTTGATTATGATAGTGATGAGGAAGAAGAAGGTGAGAGCCTAAACCAAAGCACTTTGAGTGCTGCTCCTGACACTCCGACTCCGAAGGCCCAAACCCCTGCCAATCACGACAACACCGTGGGCTCGGAGCATCTGTCAGCCTTCTCCACTGACGATTCCTTCCTCGGTTCCGTGGCCGGCGTCGATGACGACACTTTCGATTTCAAAAAGCGTAAGATAGTCCCCGGAGCATTTGGCCACCAGGCGATGGAGACGATGGACGACGAGCAGCAGTTGGGCTCGGAAGAGGAGGAAGAAGATTCTTTTTTAGAGGACGGCTCCACGGGTTCAACTATTGAGCAAGACAGCGAGGACATCACTGAAAGTCTGGAGTCTGTCGAGTCTGAAGTTGAATTGGATGAGAGTGAGGAAATGGACATGGCGGGCACATTTCCGGACCTTCATCATACCGTGGAGCGCGACGATACCGCGAGCACCGACACATACATGGAAGACCCTCGGCTGTCGCTGAAGCTTTGGAATACTCCGGCGAAGCCCCGTCTGGATCTGACGGGCGATTGGGCTGAACAGTTGCAGCGAACCATTAGTCCTCGGAAGCAGAACCGGGATGCCCTACGTGAGATCCAGGCGAATGCCTTCAACGAACGCTCTTTGCATGAGGAGACTCAAAAGCAGCCTACTAGCGAAACCAAGCAGAAGGGTTTCGCAACCAGTATTGATTTAATGAATTCCCTATTCCAGCAACCTCGGAGACAACAGACTGCATCGCCTGTGAAAGTACCAGACGCACGACCCAAAGGTCCTGAGGTATGACCGCCCTTCCTTTCCTTTCTTACTGGATTGTCTTCTGCCCTTGTTGCCGTGATGCATACTCGTCACTGCAATATCGCACTGTTGGTGCCTGGAGCAACGCTTCTGACTTCTATCTCCATAGTGGCCCTACCATAAACAGCCCAAGACTTATGCCGGCGAGTCCAATGAGTTGAGCGCTGACGACCTTGCCTTTCACTACTCCTTCAAACCACGCTGGGGACCTTCAAACGCATTGCTTTGCGTACGGAACAACGCAGACTCTGTCGAGGCTGGTTTGAGTTACTGGGAACATAGTCTCACCGTGACCAGCGAAGGACGGGACGTTTCCATACTAAAGTATAGAAAGCCCAACGAGCCGGTAGCGATGCTGGACGCCCAGCGCGAAATCACGATCATTAAGCCCGTGGATGGAGTAGTGCCCTCTGCTCGCCTGGCTCATGCCGACTTCCATAGGTTGGCCGCCACAGCCGCAGGCAGTACGCTGGTGACCGACCAAGAGCGGTTGCTCTGGCAGCTGGCCAACATTCTGTTCAACGACGAGCTTGAAGACGATATCTCTGTCGGCGTGCCCAAGGAGATCCGGTCCCAGTTCTCTCACCGTATTAAGAAGGACCGCCTTACCCGTCTACTGGAAGGAATTATTCGGCAAAAGCAGGCCCAGAAGCTGGGTAAGGTGGGCTCACCAGAGGAACGCGCTGTCAATCTCCTGTGCGCCCATCGGGTTGACGAGGCGTGCAATGTCCTGCTCTCGAGCCAAAATTTCCACCTCGCCACTCTTGTTTCGCAGATTGGTCGGGATGCCACCGTACGGGAAGATATGGCCAATCAAATTGACATGTGGCGTCAGAGCAATGCGTACTCGGAGATGAGTGAGCCTGTGCGCGCTCTGTATGAACTGCTGGCGGGCAATGCCCTACGCAGTGAGGGCAAGACTACTGGGGCGCTTGAGGATCGGATTTCTGCATTCACGTTCTCCGAGCGATTCGACCTGGACTGGATCCAGGCTTTTGGCCTGCGCCTGTGGTACGGAATCGGTGACGATGAGCCGCTGGAGAATGCCGTCTGCAAATTCGTCGAAGATCTACGTAGTGGTGTTGAAACCGCACTGCCACTACCGAATCCTTCCCAATTCTACCAATCCACCACTGCGCAGGATCGTGAGTCTCCGCTGTGGGTGCTGTTGAAGGCCTATGCCGCTACTACCGAGGCAGCCCAGAACACGCAGTTGGACGGCTTGGAGTTTCCAGCCGCCCTGCTGCCCGAATCGTTGACGGGTGACCGGCTGACCAATCGCCTGTCCTTCCAATTGTGCCATTTCCTCGCCGCGGCCGTTGGTCGCAATGGCCAACTCCAGCTGAATGTGGCTCAGATGGACCAGCTCACCTGGGACTATGCATGGGAACTCTTCAACTCTGGTGCCCTTGCACGGAGCATATTCGTCTTCTCTCACCTCTCTCGCGCTTCTGATCGGGAACGAGCCATCAAGGACATTCTGACTCGAAATGCGCTGTCGCTTCCACACCCGGTCAAAGAGGACGGATCGCCGAACAAGATGTGGAAGTACCTCGTCACCGACTCGCAGATCCCCGAGAATTGGATCTGGGTGGCGAAGGCACTATATGCGCGCGACACGGGTAATGCTGCACACGAGGTGGATTATCTGGTGAGGGCCAAGAACTGGAACGATGCGCATGCCACCTTCTGTCGCATTGTCGGACCGTCGGCAGTGATTGAAGGGGACTATGCCACACTGGAAACATTGATCTCGGGCTTTGGTGCCGAACCGGAGCGCAAGGTGCGCGGCTGGGCTCAAGGGGGCGGGATTTACGAGGATTTTCTGCATCTGGCCACGGCGAGAGTGGGCAGGCGAGACCCGGCGCGACTGCATCGGCTGGTGCAGGCATTGGTCCAGCTGGGAGATCAGATTCGGCAGGGTTCTGGTGTGGAAGGCTTGGAGGAGCGAGTTGCGTTCCGGGAGATGAGCCGAGCCGTAGCACGCTGGACGGCACACGAAGACAGCCAGGTAAGAGGGGTTGAGAATTGGGTGATAGAAACAAGACTAATCATAGTTTAGGCAAACGATTTGTCGAGTGTGCTCAGTCTGCCGCTGACGGGCGATGCGCGCCTCACGCAGACGGCGGAAATGAGTCGACGTTACTACGGGGTCATTATGGCTGGAGGGTATTAATTGGATGATGGATGAAGGCACGAATGGCAAAAGTCTCCAGTGGTTGGGACAGTCATTGGATTTGATACTGTGTTGTCTGGTCGTTCTTGGATGGCCTCTGAATGGGCGTCTTTTACTTTTTCTCTTCTTGCACACCCCCTTGCTTCTCTCCTGCTTCTCCCTCCCTTGATCTCTTTCTCCCCCCCCCCCCTGTCTTACTCCTATTTGTATCGAAGGGTCGACATCGATGTGCGGCTCTATGTATCCTAGCTGATTTGCCCCTGTCCTTCGACTGCATGTATTTGTGTGTGTTTTCTTTTTTCTTTATGCAGTGATTACTTTTCATCTTGGGTTTCCACATTTGTCTCGAGGGAGATGTGCCTCTAAGCCATAGTCAAGCCACAGCGAATGATTATCTCGATGGAAGGATATTTGATCAACTTTCTGGGGATGGCAAGATTTGAAGTATTTGAAGTACAGCTGCAGTAGTTTGCAAGGTCACCTTTCTCCGTCGCAGTATATGTTGAGGATGATGCAGCACATAAGACAAACATCACCTCGCGTCAGCGCTACGCAGAGCACAATAGATCATTTGCGCCAGAGGGTGTACAGTACTATCAGCCCTAGTCCAGAGACCCTCGACTGTCCTGCTATAGTAACTACTCCTTCCGACGGAGCCCCGTCATATCCCCCTCTTACCTCCCTCTATGATTTCACTAATCAATGAACTACCCCAAAGATAAAAAGCGCCGCCTCTCCACGACCACCACCCGCGGAATCGACAGCGCGGACCCCCTTCCGATCCGCCTCGCCCACCCAACGCCCCAAAACTTCCCCACGGCCGCCTCCATCCACCTAACTTTCCCCCTGGCTCACCCCACCGCGCCGCGGACTTTTTGTTCGTCAAAACAGATCACTGATCGCTAAAACGCCCGCCCCAACCCCGGCGGGCTCATCGAACGGGTCCTCCAGCCGCACATCCCACAAACCCGGCCTCCGTGAGGAGCGCGACGCCCGGTAAGTTACCGCCTGCTGGTACCACCCAGTCGTGGCGGACCCCCGGCGTAGCTTGTCTCGCCCAGGGCTTTGGTTGTTGTTGGTGCTGGTGCTGGTGCTGCAGGTTCAGGTGGATCACGGGTAGGTGAGTCTTGTTGGAGGGCGTAGGCCGGTCCGGAGGTTAGGCGGAAAGTGCAACGGGAGTATGGATTATCGCCGCAGCGATGACCTGGTGAGGCAGGCACGAAGGAGATCGTTGGTTCGTTGATTGACATGGTAGGAGAGTTTTGCACCCTTCTTTCCATGGAGGCTTTCCGAGGGAGTGATGGTGGCTGTATACATCACCGCACCATACCCATAGGTACCTGGGATGAGGGTTGGATGGTCAGTGAAACTCTGCATGGTCTGGCCTTCAAGAGAGCCTATTCCACAGCGCCTCGTGGGTTCATGCGTTTCGTCCAGACCCGTTGAAATATCGTCCTAGTTGCATTGTGCCGCGCGGACAAAACCTGGAGGCACTGCGATCGATTTGATTTAAGTCGAGGACGAGTCCTCTCCATTTGTCGACTTATCATGTTCGTTCTGCCATTCATCGAACGTATGGCGATAGACCTTGGTATCTGGGTGATCCGAACCGTAGACCATATGGCACAGCTTGCAACAGTTTTTGATCGAAGACAATGCATCCAAAAGTCGTTCTTGAGATTTCCAGGTGTAGGCAAGGTGGGCCATGCTTCTCAGAGTATCAGGATGCTCAGCTCCTAATATCGCCTTTCGTATCTCCATCACTTGTATGCCTAGCTTCTCAGCTTCATCCCATCGGCTCTGATTCTGATAGGTCGATGCCAGATTAGCTATAGTTGCCAGAGTATCAGGATGCTCTGCTCCTAATACTCTTCTTCGTATGTGTAGTATGTAAGAGCCTAGCTTTTCAGCTTCGTCCCATCGGCTTTGACTCTGATAGGTGGATATCAGATTAGCTATACTTTTCAGAGTATCAGGATGCTCGGCTCCTAATACTGTTTCAGATGTTTTCATAACCTGGATATCCAGCTTCTCGGCTTCATTCCATCGGCCCTGATTCCAATATGTTGATGCCAGGTTGGCCATACTTGTCAGAGTATCAGGATGCTCGACTCCTAGCACTGTCTTTCTTAATCTCAGTGCTTGGATATGCAGCTTCTCAGCTTGATCCAACCGGCCCTGATTCCGGTACGTTGATGCCAGGTTGGCCATACTTGTCAGAGTATCAGGATGCTCGACTCCTAGCACTGTCTTTCTTGATCTTAGTGCTTGGATATCCAGCTTCTCAGCTTTGTTCCATTGGCCCTGATTTCGGTATGTGGATGCCAGGTTGGCTATGCTTGTCAGAGTAGCAGGATGCTCAGGTCCGAGTACTGTTTGCGATATCTCTATCACTTTAATATCCAGCCTTTCGGCTTCAGTCCATCGGCCCTGATTCCAGTATGTTGATGCCAGATTAGACATGCTTCGCAGAGTATCTGGATGCTTGACCCCACTGTTCTCTTGACTCCTTTCTAGCAGAGCCTTGTATTGGATTTCTGCCTCGAGGTATCTTCCATCACTGGCAAGGCAATCCGCAATATTTTGAATCAGTTCAGCATAGTCGTTCTGCCTTTGAGCAAAATAGTCTTCATCCACAAGTGCCAATGCATGAGGAAGATATTCCCGCCAAAGTTCTCGATTAGCGTGGTGATTACTGGGAAATACTTGCTGTATTTGGTCAGCCACCTTCTAGACCTATATACCAAACTGCCCAGTGCTTCGAAGCCAGTTCCGCGTAGCAAGATGTACAAGGCTGTGCAGGCTTATATTCATATTCTGGCCGGTCGTAAATAAGTATGTATTTAAGAGCCCCAAAGCATCAAGTGTCCGCTTCTTTGTTGTTCCGAGTGGCAGGAGAGACCGAGGAATGTTTTGTGGATTGATACAGGCCATGAAAGACAGATAGTCTGCCGCCAGTTGACTCTGACTTTGTACTTGATTGAATGAGATTAACCAAGTACTTAGAACCGGATTCTGGATTTCCTTGTAGTGTTCTAGGTCACGGAACTCCTTACTAAGAAGCTCTACTGCATCCTGTTCCTGCTCTTAGAAAAGGACAAGGTAATTAGACGGCTTTATACTATTCTTAATAATATATGCAGATGCCTGGGTAATTGCCAAGGGAAGAAAGTCCAGTCGTTCTGACAGAATAACTGTGGTGTTATCATCTTGAAGCAAGTCCTTCTGGGCCAGTAATTTCTGCATAATTTGAAGTGCGATGTCTCTATCCTCATTTGGGATTGAAACAATGTTGAACGGTGCGAGTTTCAAGGCAAGTTTCCGGTTCCTCGTGGTAAATAGAATATTGCCTTGTTCACTCTGAGGGAGAAAGTCCTCGAGACCTGAGTCTGCTTTGCCAGGTGATAACCACACATCCGGTTCGTCTGCATTGTCGAAAATCAAGAGCCACTTTCCTGCACGCCAAGAGCTAAAGTATCTCTTCAACTGTTCCTTGACCTCGGATGGTGTACTGTTGCTGATTCCGACCGTCTCTGCGATCTTCAAGAATGTTGCTTCAATCAATGCATGGCTAGTACAAGGGACCCAGAAGACCGAGCATTCCCTGTCTTTTTCGCGAATGCGGTGGGCTATCTCTAAGGCCACCTGGGTCTTTCCGATCCCCCCTAAACCAGTGATTGCAACCCTTCGGTATCCGTCTTGCAATATGATCAGGTCTTCCACTTTCTTTATCTCATCCAGGCGGCCAACAAAATTCGGGTTTCTGAAGAGAGGGACCATCCAATGCTGGGCTTTTCTTGCCTCCCAAATGCTGGGATTTACCTGACAGACCGGCATGTCTGAGATTAGAAGCTTCGCATAGGCAGCAGCTGTCAATGCTGCATAACCCTGCCACTGCTTCTGCTTGTGGGAGTCACAATAGTCGCATATACCTCGAATCACAAGGGTTGGAAGCTCATTCATAAGACCTGCAGCTTCCATCTCAAAGCAAAGAATCCCATGCTGTGTTGCTAGACGATCTCGTGTTTCCGAGTCTTTAATCACTTGGTTCCCAGATGCTATCAGACCGTAATGAATGTAGGGTATTTGTCTTGCACGTGGCGGCCGCTTGACCAGTCGTTCTCGATCGCAATTCCCACAGTCGGATCTCTTATCAGCATGGTGGTAGGAAGAGCAGAAAAATAGATCTGTATCTTTTCTTGGGCGGGTGAATCTTTCTCTGATGTGAGGATTTCGTCTCAGGGCTTCACTGGTGACGCATAGGAGAGCATCATCGTTAGCCGTCATATGCTTTGCTCGGATTCGGCTTATGTGCGTTAGAAGGACCTGCGGTGGTTGATTCAACAGGCCCGTGGGCTCAAACTGCCCCCCCTGCACTGCCTTGCCATAATCGTATTGTATCACCCCACCATGCCTTCCACCTGGTGTACTGACGACAACATCCCCCAATCGAATATCGTCACTTTTGCTCGGAACCCCACCCCCAATCCCCACCATTAGTCCAAACCGGAGCCGAGGAAAGGTCAAGCGCATACGCGATACGACAGCCGCCGCAGAGACAGTCCCGTAGATACCGTTGGGTAGGTAGGCAATAACTATGTGATGGCCGTTAAGCTCGCCAAATTCGTACGCGTTCGGATCACTCGCTCTTCCAGGTAGGTTGTGGATCTTGTCCAGCATGGCCCGGGCTGCTGCCGCCTCGAGAGGCAAAGCACAGATCCATGCGATAGTATAATCATGAAACGTGTGGGATGCCATTCGGTAAATGACAATAACCTGTTGGATGATATTAGCTGTATCTGACTAAGATATTTCTGAGGTGTCGCGATGCCAGCTAACTCACAGGATGGGTGACTTTCACGGAGCGAGTACCTGGAAGAGAGAGGGTGGGGGGGGGGGGGGGTTTTTTTCAGCCACTGCACGTGTCCTGCAAGGCTGACTCGGCGGGGCGATTTGTCTTGCCTCTACAGTCTACAGAGTATCAGATAGTACTAAATCATCTTTTTGAAAAAAGCAGATTGTTCGGATTAATCACTCACCGAGAGAAATAGTTCGTTGGTGCTGCTGGAAGTTCAACGCAGACTCTTTCCAAGACTCGCACGAACCTGGAGCTGTTTGGCAGCGATTGAGCTTATTCAAAGTTCAATATGAGGCTATTCCCAGTTTGAGAAATACAGATGAGATTAAGAAGAATATTTATAACAGGTATCTATTTAATCAAGAATAACCAAACAGCCAATTAAGACCATTCAAAAACAAAGAATTCTATCCATAAACGAACCACACCATCATTCCAAATGGAACCGCAACTCCGACTCCAGCTGCTCGCCTACCATCATTTCGCGGGCGATTGCAACCGTGGCCTCGAACGACCCCTCTCCCACGTACCAATCGTACCGCCAGGTATGCCGGGCCTTATCTCCGGATATGTCGCAGGCGATTAAGCAGCCACAGAAATGATGTATGTATTGTGTGACCGCTGTGCGTGCCTCTTGCTCATCGAAGGCCCGTCTGGCGGACCTTGGGAATGACCTTGCGCTCTCATGCAGAAGTCTCAACAAAAGGACCTTGTCAACCCCCTCGATGTCGATCTCGAGGTCCTGGTCGACCATTCTGACGGTGGGGAGCTGGTGCTTACCTAGATGCGGACTGGGCTGTGTCTGTTTTCTGGAAAAGGGTACGGAAAGGTTTTCGTGAGAGGTGTAGTCACGACTGGCTTGCGCGCTGCTGGCTGGGGTATAAATGTTGTATTTATAGCTTGCATGAATCAGAGCCAGTCTCACCGCACAAACAAAGGCTGTCGGATAGATGGTGATCATCGACTGTCCGCAATATCTGACAAAGCCATCTGTGCCGGCTATCTTTGACACTGCAGTCTGCAAACAAGGCTTCGCTGGAAGAATTCAAATCAACCCCACCTTTCAGCAAAGACACCACCGGGAAGGAACGCCTGCACCGCAGTATCCTCCTTGTGATATCGTTGGAGGTACAGGCAGATCGAGGGACATTCCACTCTGGCCCTCAGTTCAATCCACCAGATACTGCGGCCGGCCTGGCGATACCACAGATACAGCAGCACGAGCGCGACAGGGTCCCGATTCCGGAGCATATCCTCAAAGACACCGTGAATACTGCGGATGAAGAGCTGCGCGGGACCGGTGGTGACTTTGGTGTCTGGGAGGTTCAGGGTCAGGGCCACAGCGTGGGCGGCCTCGAAGTACGGATTATCTGTCGCCGTCGATGCCTCGTGGAGGAGGCACAAGGCCGCCACGGCCCGCGGGATGCCCTGCACGCCGCGCTGCGGCAAGGGGGCGTTCATCTGCGCAAAGGTGGGCGCCATGACGCGGAAGACGCTGTCCGGGCGTAAGGGATCGACGATGTGCCACAGTGCCATTTTACCTTTGCTCAGACGGACCCAGTCCAATGCATCGGTTTGCTGGTCAGAGGGGGTGAGGGGCCACGATTCTTCCGGTGTGCATGCCTCAGGGGATGAGAAGGCCAGGATGGCCAGCGCAGCCAGGGTGCCCCAGAGTGGATCCTTGTCTTCGGCGTTGATCGGCCGCTCCCTGAACCGTCGGTTGAGAAGGGCGGTGCTCTGGTACCAGTGATAGCACTCGTCCAGACTGCGACGGCTGCCTCCGACGGTGTTTAGGTGGCGGTCGTATGTAAGTGCCACGGCTAGAGAGGCGTGCATGAGATAAGGGTACTGTCGGCCACACAGGGCTGGTGTTAGCCGAGTGTAGATCCAGGACGACTAGCCCTACACGATGTGCAGTACTTACAACGAAGGCTAGTTGCAGGAGCTTGCGATTCACGTGCAGCATATTCGGGTCATCTGGGGTCAGAAGACTACTTCCATAGTACCGAGTGAGGAAGTCCTGACACTTCGTGTTCAGCTGATAGAATGTCGATTGGTCCGCCGTCCAGACCGCACCGGCGAGGGGGGGCTGTAGCTCGGCAGTTCCTCGCAGCGCCAGCGATGGCCTCCCTGTCTCAGCGGCGATGGGCTGCAGGTCGGGAATATTGAAGATGAAGTTGCACACTATCCCGAATGCGCAACATTTCTTGCAGTTAGGTCTACTTTCGTCGCACTGAAGAGGTTTGGAAAGTACAATCAGCCATGCACGAATCAATGTAGTCAAGCGAGCCAACCAGCCAACCTTGAACCCACCTTGAGCTTTCGGAGCTTGCAATTGCGGCAGCCATATCTGGATCTTCGCTGAGTAGTCCGCTTCTGAGCAGTAACAGTTTCTGCACATGTTGAGGACATTTTTGTGGGCTGGGAATGGTAGGCAATGGATGGGAGGTAGTCGCAAGTACAAGGTAACTTAGTTCCCACCAATCGTCCCCTCAGGCACCCACATGGCACAGGTGCACACGCTAACCTCCTTTCGGAACGAGATCTTCCACGCGGCGCTAGCCACATTTCGGATGCAGAGGTCTCTGATTGGCTGCGGAGATCTATAATCATCGAGGCAATAGTTGAAAACAACACTTCAGTGACATAAATACCAGCCTCAATCCCTGGTTCGCTGGCCTCCTCTCTATCTTAAAGCCCATCAATTACCTCTCAGAGAGTTCCTCTTTCTCCCCAACCCCAAAATCCTAGATCCCAAAATGACCACCCACCACTTAGCCGCCATCTCCCCGGGCCCAGGCCAACCCTTGGAGCTTCGCACCCGGCCCACCCCCCAACCAGGCCCGAACGACCTCCTCATCGCCGTCAAATCCATCGCCCTCAACCCGGCCGACCACATCATGCAAGACACAGGCCTCTTCATCCCGGACACCAGCTACCCGACGGTCCAGGGCTTCGACCTAGCCGGCCTAGTCCTCGAAGTCGGCGACGCGGTCCCCCAGAATGCTTCCTTGCACCCAGGGACCCGCATCGCCGCCTACAGCGCCCTAGTCTGGAAAGCCTGCAGCCCAGACTACGGCGCGTTCCAACAACGATGCCTCGTGCCCTGGCAGCACGCAGTAATCCTCCCCGACGAAGACGGGCACGAGTTGACCTGGAACGAAGCAGCCACCCTCCCCGTCTCCGTCCAAGTCGCGCTAAGCGCATGGGATGCGATGGGGATTCCCCGCCCTCCACCAGCAGCAGCAGCAGCCACCGCTCTGCCCTCCACCCCCGACCAGATCGGAAAAAGTCAAGCCCTCCTCGTCTGGGGCGCCTCCTCCAGCGTCGGCAGCATGGGCGTGCAGACCGCGCGCCTCCTCTGCGACTCCCCAACCACCCCCTTCGCCGCCGTCTACGCCACCGCCGGAACACCGCGCAGCCGAGCGTACGTCGCATCGTTGGGTGCGGACCGCATCTTTGATTATCATGACCCCCTCACACCCCGGGAAATCGTCGATACCGCCCGGAAGGACGGCCTGACAATCCGGCATTGCTTTCTGGCGATGGGGCAGCTGGCGGCTTGTCGGGCGGTGGTGGGGGCGTTTCGCGGGGAGGACCAGGTCACAGGAAAGATCGCGTCGGCGCCGCCAGTGCCGCCGGATGCCGGGGTCGTGGACGACGGCGCCGGGGTGGAGACGGTCTTTGTGATGCCTGCGACGGGGGAGGCGGAGCGGCTGGCGCAGTTTCGGGAGTGGCTGGGGTCGTGGTTGAGAGAGAGTTTGGGGAGAGGGAGGATTCGGCCGAGTCCGGAGGGGAGGGTTGTCGGGAAAGGGTTGGGCGCTGTGAATGCTGGGTTGGATGAGTTGCGGCGCGGGGTGAGTTGTGTTAAGTTGGTGGTGGAGGTTGCGGAGTGATTGATTGTATACAGTATATTTGATGGGATGTGCATGGGGCAGGGGGGTGAAGATGCTGGATGTTGGATATAGGGGTTATCTTACTGTATGTACTTCATCTGTTTCAGCACGCGATATCAGAGTGTATCCTTGGAAGTATTTGGTGGACCTTGTAGATATGGTCCGATTTGAGCTTGGTAGACTTCCATGGAGGGTGTGTGGAACGGTCCTGGCCATACAATGCATGTTACGCCGAAGAGCATTTGAGTGGCTGACTCCTCGATAACCCACAGCAGACTATCCCGAACACTGCAAATACTCTGTAGATCTTTGAGAGACCACCCAGTTACAACAACCGACTATCAGACAAAGAAAAGATATAATTGCTACCAAGACTGTACATGATCGAACAAGACGTGAAAAAAAAGGAAGTTGAAACACCACCCACACGCAGACATACACCCAGACCCTTTCTCTTTGATCAAAAAAATTTGATTAATGTCTCGGACTTTTCCTTCCACTGACCCCTGTCATCCCCTCCATTAACTCACTGGCCGGGAGAGATCAACTTGCCCTCAGCCCGGCTGTTAGGGTGCCATCCACCGGCATAGGGGGACTGACCGCCGAGCTGCTCAGCGTGCTCGCGGATCCGGGCTTCCAGCTCGGGCCGGAAGTGACGGATCAGACCCTGGATGGGCCAGGCAAAGGCCTCTCCCAGAGCGCAAATGGTGTGACCCTCGACCTGCTTGGTCAGCTCCTGGAGCATGTCAATCTCACGCTCGCGGGCCTGGCCGGTCTCCATGCGCTGCATCATCTGCATGGTCCACTTGCTACCCTCACGGCAGGGCGTGCATTGACCGCAACTCTCGTGCTTGTAGAAGGTGGACAGGCGGGAGATGGCGCGGACGATATCGGTCGACTTGTCCATGACGATGACGGCGGCGGTACCCAGACCGGACTGGGAGTCCTTGAGGGCGTCGAAATCCATGAGCTGGTCGTCACAGATAGACTTGGGGAGGACGGGGGTCGAGGATCCACCGGGGATGACGGCCTTGAGGTTGTCCCAGCCACCGCGGACACCACCGCAGTGACGCTCGATCAGCTCGCGGAGGGAGATGGACATCTCCTCCTCGACGGTGACGGGGTTGTTGACGTGACCGGAGATACAGAAGAGCTTGGTACCGGCGTTGCGCTCACGACCGAAGGAGGAGAACCAGCTGCCGCCACGACGCATGATGGTGGGCACCACCGCCACGGTCTCGACGTTGGTGACCGTACTGGGGCAACCGAACAGACCGACGGCAGCGGGGAATGGAGGCTTGAGACGGGGCTTGCCGGCCTTACCCTCGATCGACTCGATCAGGGAGGTCTCCTCACCACAGATATAAGCACCCATTCCACGGTGGATGTAGACGTCGAAGTCGTAGCCGGTGCCGCAGGCGTTCTTGCCGATCAGGCCGGCCTCGTAGGCCTCGTTGATAGCCCGCTGCAGGACGGTGGCTTCGTGGTAGAATTCACCACGGATGTAGATGTAGGCGGCGTTGGCGTTCATCGCACGACCGACGACCAAGCAACCCTCGATGAGCTTCTGGGGGTCCTTGCGCATAATCTCACGATCCTTGCAGGTTCCGGGCTCACCCTCATCGGCGTTGACGACCAGGTAGCGGGGGCGGGGGTCCTTGTCCCAGTCCTTGAAGTTCATGAAGGACTAGATGCCACGCCCGATCAGCTCGGAATTGACCAATCGTTTGCCTCCGCACCAGAGGGGAGAGACTTACGTATTTCAATCCGGAGGGGAAACCGGCACCACCACGACCACGAAGACCAGAGGCCTTGATCTCGGAGATGAGCTATACACCGAATGCAACCATTAGCATTGAATCGTTATCAACACCACATATCCGTCCACGTGTCGGCGATGGGATTGAGGTGGTTATCTTAGGGGCAGCGTACCCAGTCGTGACCCTTGAGAACAATGTCCTTGGTGCGGTGCCAATCACCGAACTTCATTGCCGACTTGAGGTCGGCTCCATGGTGACCGTAAAGGTTGGTGAAGATGCGATCTTGGTCCTTCAGGCCGCCATAGTGTCGTACGGGGGGAGCGTTGTCCTGGACAGTCGCGAAAGAACGGGCAGCCGGGGCCTGGGCTCGGAGGGAGCGGGAGGAAAGGTTGGCGATAGAGGAAGACGAGGGAGCCGCCGCTCGGGATATCATGGTGAATATGGGCCCAGTGGCTGCACGGAGAGACTGGGGGGAAAGAGGTCAATTGGGGGGGAGGCGGAGGGGGATCGAGATGATGAAGGCGTTCAGCAGTTGAGCTTCCACCCTTCCGGCGCGGCAATTCCTGCGCCTGCTGAATATCCGCCTTTCCCCGCCCGCTGATTGGCCTTGGTCCAATCACGTGAGACATAATGAGTAAGCTGCTTTTTGTGCCACCTAGGTACGCAGTTATACCTTACATACAATTCTAATCCTATTCGTCATCAGAGTCTTGATCTCATCGATTCATTGTTCAATCCATTTCGTCTCATCTACTCCTCCTGAGGAATATACAAGTACGATCCCGTGGACAACATCACCTGCCCATCGCTGGCTAGCAATCTCAGCGGATCTTCAGGCATGTGCACGCACTCCTGCTCTCCTACCATCCACGCCCAGCGTATCCAGTTGGGTGACAGCCACCAGTCATCGTCCTGCCATGAGCCTGTGTAGGCCTCTAATCCAGCAAACACGGCAGAGCGTTGTGACTTCATCTGCTCCAGAGCCTCATCAAACTGGCTCACTAGGTACTCATCGTCCTCATCCTCCAGCGCCCAGGCCACATCATTTGGTGGCGGTGGGTAGTTCTCGAGCAGGAATTTCGCCCATCGAGTAATTCTGGGCGACAACTGGCCTCCCGCAGACCCTGACACCTTCGTAGTTCTACCAGCTGCGGCAACGAGACACAAGAAGATGGGGAACGCGAAGGGCGATGTCTCCGCGCTGTCTCTGAGCACCGGGATGGCCTTCTCCGTAGTGCTTAGAACATCCTGGAAGCATGCCTTGCATAGTGGTTGCATCTCCATTGGCAGAAGATCCGGCAGCTCGGTCAATGTGAATAGTTCCCCGGTCTTGGTGAGAAGTGACTGCCTCTCCAAGATCCGCATCTGCAGCCGGGACAAGATTCCTTCCGGGAATTTGCCGGCAGGGATCCGGGCCATATGGGCCCCAAGGATCCTTTTCATTTCTTCCCATCTACCAGTGAAGTTGTGTTGCCGCGCGCGGTTCAGGGTCCATGCAGCTATCACAAGAGCGGTTTCAGACAGCATGATCTGGCTGTCACGGTACATCTTCGCGTGAGTTTGTTTCAAATTCTCCGGGTGCTGTAGATCTTGGCCGGAGGCTCTCAGCTTCACAGCATGGTTGATAAGTTCAATCACGATCTGGCCCATCGCAGCCAGCAGCGCGCGTGAGTTCCCGTAGGCGCTGGGGATTTTGATGTCGTGGTCCGTGATTTCTAGGGTCTCCAACTCCCGGTTGTTCGCCGCCAGGACGGAGACCGCGTTGAGGAGAGCAGGCGAGAAGATCGAATGCTCCATTGCAGTATCCGGGGCCAGCAGCGGATAGAAGATGTTGAAAACATAGTAGTGGTCTTCAGTGTCCGCAGCCAAATGCGGGAACATTTGCAGCTGGTGGGAACGTGCCTGCTGAAGCGGACTCTCGGGTGGTGCGCGAAGACTCACAATGCGATAGTCACAAGGGTTGCCCGGAAGACAGAATCCGTAGTTCATCATCACTGCTTGGGTGTCAGTGGAGCTGTTCAAATAGACCTCGAAGAAAGCCAGTACAAAAACTTACACTGTTCATTATTCCGAGGCCCGTAGTTATTGGAGATTTCCTCCCCAGCAGCCACGTTCTCCAGGACCACAAACCTAACCTCATCCTTCTCCGCTCGCCACTCGACCTTAGCCAGCGGCCGATGATTAGCCACATCGAAGAAGGGCAGCAAGACAGAAATATTCTCCTCCGACAGCTCCTCCTTGGGGATCACACCGGACAACACCTTGGCAGAAAAGGCGCGCGAGAAGAAAATCGTCGAGGCCCACAGATAGAGATCCCTAGACACAGGAGGTCAACCACAATCCTCCGTAACCATTACCTTTCACCAAGAACAAGAAACAGGAACAAAAACATCCAAAACACAAGCCCCACAACAGAAGGAAGCAAATCAAGAATACGCACCATGTAAATTCCTCCACCCCATCGAACCCAGCTTCCCTCAACGCCCGCACCGCAGCCTCATACTTCCCCCTCAGCTTCTCGACCCGTTGCTCCCTAGCCGGCAACAGACTCGTCCCCTGCAACCACCGCAGATCCTCGCCCTCATAATTGGGCGGCGTCGTCAACGTCCCCGGCTGCGGCAACGTCCGCAGGTACGGGTACCAGAAGCTCTGCGCGCCGCGCAGATACTGGCCCACCAGAAAGAAGACCGTCGCCTCCTTCAAGCCGACCGCGTCGATGAAGGGGCGCGGGAAGTCCAGGCCATGGGACTTGAACTCAACGATGCTGCCACCGCCGGTGGCATCTGCATCTGGAGCGACAGTGGCGGCGGTGGATGCACGGTACCCGATGACGTTGAAGTACGAGATCGTCGTGGTCAGGGGCGTCTGGATGATCTGCGTGTCCACGGCCAGGCTACCTTCGGACGAGCCCTTGCGGACTTGCAGGTGCACCCCGCGTTGCTCGTCTTTGGCGACCTGCACGGCGGGGTGCAGCTGGCCGCCGTGCTGGGCCATCCATGCCTGGAGGTCGGCGTAGATCTCTAGTCCGGTGGTGGCATTGTTGGTGCTGCGGGGGAGAATGTTAATTTCATATTCTTCTTTGTTGTGGTGTTTATGTTCTTATTCTGGTTCTGGAAGGAATGAGATGAAAAATGTGTGTGTGTGTGTGTGTGTGTCTTGATTTGAAAATGACAACAAGAAAAAACCATATCATATAGCTCGTAGCGGTTCAACGTCATGCTGGAACCGGGCCATAGCACGAAAGTAAAGCCTTGACTTACCTGGGAGACCCCGCGGTCGTGCTCGCAGCCATACTATGAGAGAATCGCCGCTGAAATGGCTGACCCAGACGAAAGCCCTTATAGCTGAGTAGTAGAAATTGAAGGTATCGGGTTTTGTCGAAGAATCCGAGGCAAAAGGTCAAGAGCATGACGCAGAACTTTGGCGGGTCGAGCAATTGACATGATTCGATTTTCGACTCCCGAACCGGAAATTGTCCCACTTTTTCTCTCCCGACTCGGGATTGTGTAGCAGCACAGCACTTATCTCCATATCAACATCAATTTACTACGGATACGATACTACCATCATCTTCCAGATTCGTGATCAAACTGGGAAAGAAAACAAGACCAAAATCCTTTCTCTTCGAAAGTATCTTACAAGTCCAACAAAAATAGCAATAAGACAGTAGGAAAACCTCAAAATCATCCAAAATGCAGTAACATCAAACATTCGTTATAATGGAATTCTCGTGACTTCACATAATTCAAAGCTAATTGCTCTGAGAATGAAGATGATACAGCAAACAAGAGGGAGGATATACTGGAGCATACTCCCCACGAGATCATGCTGCTGTAACAAGCATCCATAGACAGCACCATCTCAAACTCATAATCAAGCCGACCTCATCATCACAGGATAAGCACACGCGAATACCATGCAGTCAACTAGTGTACATAAGATGGAACCTTTACCAATCCCATCAAGGCAAGCATTATCAAAGCACCACCCAAGACGTAGTAACCTAAGATCCACAATAACAGGAAAAGGGAATCCGCGAAAGATAGAAAGTGAAGATGCATAGGATATCAAAAGAGCAAACAAAGATCAATGATCAGTGCATAGAAGATGTTGAAGACTTCCTACCCGGCACTAAAATCTCGACTAGCCCGTCATCCTCACCGTCGCTGCTGTCGTTGTCGTTATCCTCGCCGAATGGAGAGACCCCCATGCGTGATCGAGCAAAGTCCATGTAGCGCCCCGGTCCTAAGTCGGGATAGCCGAGCGATTCATTCATGATGGCCTCATCTTCTTCGTCCGAGTCCATCATTCGAGGGTCAGCAGACGGCCCCACCATCTCTCCCATGTCGTCGTCGTCCTCCACTTCCAGTGGAACCCGTTCCTTGCGCCGCATGCCCTCAGTTCGACCTTCTCCATCATCATCGGAGGAACCAGTGGAGAACGAGTCGGGAGGGCTAAAGCCAGACTCCGGGAAGGTGGGCGAGGAAAACGGCTCGTCTTTGTCACCCGTCGGAGGGAAATCGTTGGATGGGAAAGCGGCATCTGCTGGAGAGTGGTTGCCTTCTGTGTCTTCGTCGAGACCTGCAATCACAAAGGGATTGGTCGGCCACTGGGACTCAGAGGTCTCATGTTCGCTCCCCAGGTTCCTGTCTTCGGCCCCTTCCGAGCCGTCATTAGCCTGCTGCTTCTGAGCCGCAAGCCGAGCGGCTAATTGCCGCCTTGCGCGGGACGGCCCTTGACTCATCGGAGCAGGAGGCGGGGGAAGAATGGGTATCGGTTGGCTGGTCGAGTTGGCAGATCCCTGAAGACAGAGTAAGGTTAGCATATCTGTAGGCAGAGCGACTTGAAATTCGAGATTTCTCGTGTGCATGGTCAGAGAACAGGATAATGAAGCTTGATAGATGACAAAAGCTAGGCTCAGCCTTAGCGGGGATTCAAAGAACTACTCGTACGGGGGAAGGTATTGCTTGGTTGTAGAAAGTCATCCGCACATGATATCGGGGAGTAGTACTGTTCTGAATGACTTCATACATATGGAGAAGCGCTGCCAGTCCAACACGTTGTGCCAGGCCCTGTATGGCCCGTACCACTCCCGTCATCCATCATGTGTCTAAATTTCCAGCGGTCCGGGTTGAGAGCGAAACAGTCAAGGGCTTCGACGTGAGGAAAGGGCGGGTATATATGGGGCGGCCTGGGTCGATAAGAATCGCCTCGGCCATAAATTAAGGGAGGTTCAAGCATCGCGCATATCGATATCTGTGAAATCGTGATCACCCACATTGTCTGATCCGCCTTCGGCGGATTGATCAGCCAGGTTTCTATCGTCCTGGTCTTCCATTTCCTCGTCCTCGTCGTCACTCGAGCTGGCGAACCCGCTCAGGAGAGAATTCCCACCAAGTCCAAAAGCCCCACCGGATACGCTTCCTTGATTCATCATGTCAAAACCTTGGAAGCCAGAATTTCCCGTAGAACCATTAAGCCCTGCATCCGCAAGCGCCGATGAAGCGTTGGCGCTCTGGCCTGAGTTGATCATGCCTTGCCGATGCCCAATGGACATGTCCGGCCGTACGCCACCAAGAATGGCATTGTCACGTTCCCTTGTCTCGGAGAGCGTTTGCTCGACATAGTCAATCCACTCGGGGTTGAGGACACTTTCCATCACAGTCGGTGAAAGCAGCTCCGGTGGGTGGCGTTCGCTGAACTTGACGACCTCCTCAGCGATCAATGTGAGATGACCCATGTAGCCCAAACGAATCTGTCTTGTGCGCTGGGTTTCGTCACTTCTCTTCTGTCCGTCGACAATGCTCTGCGTTATCCGACCTGTCTCGAAGACATCAACAGCCAGCATCCGGTTGTAACCACGTTCCATTGGGCCATTGAAGACTTGCTGTACGACGTCGTAGACGACGTTATGAAGGAAGTTATTCCACGGGAACCGGAAAAAGAAATCCTGCGATGCTGTTAATCCTAATCCCATAACATGGGGCATTTAAGGGGAGACAAACCAAGATGGTGGGAACAACCTGGTTTTCTACGAACATAATCTTGAGATAATCGCCAACCACAGGCTGCCCATTGGAATCAACCTGAATGTCAGGATGCAGTGGCCGCTGTGAAGAAGGAGCATCGCCGACCTGGCCAGCAGTATCAGGCGCGGAAGAGCTGGGTGGCTGATTATCTTGATTGGGGGCAGGGTCCGCATCAAGAGAGGGCTGCGTCTGACTGGCTGGCTCAGTTGTAGTCTCAGCAGACGATTCATGCGGCTTGGCGGATTGCCCACCGTCGAGGCTGACTTCTTGGATTTGATCTGCCAAACCAGACGTGGTGTCAGTCTCCGTGGTGTGCGCCCGTATAGAATCTTCTGTCTTGCTTCCGAGTGCCTCATTCGCAGCCGAGTCTGTGACATCTGCAGATTCAGAGCTTTGTGAAACAGGTTCAGGCTCAGACTTGGGGCTGGGAAGGTTCGCTTCCCTGACCCCCGCATCCTTCTCTTTGTCAACAAGGACGCCGGATGCGCTGACATCCTCGAAGCTCTCCTCGCCGGTGTTGGCAACTTCAAGGACCCTCGAACCTTCTGGTGACCCGTAACCAATAACAGATCCGTTCACGAAGTCCACAGTAGAGTCATTTCCATCAAAGGCGGACGTCTCTTCTCTGTGCGCGTTGAAGGCACCCTCACGCATGAGCCTTTCGCGCTCAGCATCGCGTTGTCGGACATACTCGTCACTTCCTGGCTCATTCAACAGACCCATATTACTGCAGTGTAGCAGTTCCGCCATCAGCTCACAGGTCTTGAATCTATCGAAGCCCAGGGGTTCGATTTTTGCGCCCCATGCCGAGTTCAGCTTTCCCCTTTCAACAGTCTTCACTTTTCCACCATCATTGACCGTATGCTTGGAGCTCTTGATCAAGGCCATGAAGTCGGGTATGTGCTTGGCAAAAAGTCGGAGAAGGTTCCCAAGGTAAATAGGGTCATATGTCGTGGGTGGTGAGTCCGGCCCATTGATGTTCTCCGGGTCATAGTCTGAGTTATTCTTTCGAATAACTTCAATAATAATGCCCACACCGACCGTCAGTGGGTTTCCACCCTTCAGCATGGATTTGATCAAAGTCTCTATGCAGGTTGTGGAGACTAATTGCCGCGTGAGACTATTAGGGCCGATGCAGGACTGGTCATTCTGCGTTGCGTTTGCCGAAATGGTGATGATTGCTTTCAAGAAGTCACCTGCCGAGGTTTGGACGGAGGCAGGGTATTCCGGCGACAAGAACGATAGCAAGGTCGGTATGAGGTTTTGGGCCCTCAGCCACTAAGAGAATGGTCAGCTTGTGTTACAAGCACCTGATTCCATGGCTTTAGGAACTCACATCAACAATCCCTTGGCCGCCTTCAACCTTCTCCAAGCTGATAATCTTCAACAAAAGATCCATGACCATGGGGTTATCCACATGCCGGAGGATGGCCGGAACCACGCCATCCATGGACTTCAGCAGGTCCAGCATCTCGGTCGTCTTCTTGTCAAACAGCGTCTCGTTGACTTTTGTGAAGTAACTCGCCTGGACAGAGTCCAAGGACGAAGGACGCTTCAGAAAGCCCCAAAAGTGCTTCAGATGATCCGGGTTCAACATAATCGACTCCACGATTGACCAGATTTCGGATGACAGGATTTCGCATGCGACATACGCCCGTTTCAACCGATCCTTTTCTGCCCGCTCCAGGTCCTCTGGGTCCAGCATATCTCTGAGCGGGTCTTTGTGTTTCTCCTCCACCGCCGATGTGTCGTTGTTCGACTCCGTGGCGTTGCTGTCATTGGTATCATCGTCTTCGTCATCATCGTCGTTCACTAGCGATGGGGCGATCACGTAGTCCATAAGCCGTTTCAAGACATTATCCTCTCGTAAGAATTCTATGAGCTTCGTATTATTTTGCTTGAGTTCCTGGATCAGTTCCGACTCATCCAGCAGCTCCTCCAGGCTGACATCGGGCTTGTCTAGCAGAGTATCAATGCTGGAGATACTTGCATATCCTCCAAAACGCCAAAACATGATGATTTATATAACCGGCCAAACCGAGTCATGGAAAGAAGATTCGGTAGAATGCGGGTTTTTCTAGCGGCCGGAGTCCTCCGTCGAAAACGTTGCGACTGAGACCTGTTGTATATTACAAGAGCCGTGAGAGTGTCCAAAGCCTCTAGCCTATGGGACAACCCATGCAATGTTTCAGATCGTCGTGAATGAGAAGTTTGTGTATGAAGGCGGGATCGCAAGTGTAATGTTCGTTATGTTCACGCGTTCCAGGTATAGAAAGTGAGATCGGAAATTTCGTGAGCAGAGATGAGCCTGGTCGGAGCGTCCAAGCGCTAGATGCGCCGAGTATCCCAGTTAGCAAACCTCTTCGCGCGTTGAGCGTCATGATCATGAAGGAGGGAGGACAGAAACGTTGATTGTGAGGGTCGGGAACATTAGGGGTGGCTTCGCCCGAGGATCGGAGGATAGCAGGGCAGACTTCAGGCAGGCAACACAATGACCGGGTCAGGCATTGCGGCCGCGACTGCAGAATTCACCAGATGGCAGACATGAAGGCCCAGCAAGCGGAGGACAAAAGTTTAAAAGAAAGATACACCATATAAAATTCAAGCAAAGCACACATACCTTTCACAACCTGAGGGAGTGACAAGAGAAGAGAAAACGGTGGGAGAATCCTCAACAAGGGGAGGGAGGAATCGGGGTTCGTCAGCCTTGCGCTGCACGGGGTGAAACGAGTCAGTCAGTTAGATGAAGCAGGAATAGTGCGTAATGGTGATGATGAATGGAGGTTAAGGCAGTAAGTCAGTCAATGGTGCTAGGCGTGTGTGGGTAGTACAGTAAATACTGTAACTACAGTACCTCAAGAAGAATAGTTCAAGGATGGCGGGCTGACATCCGCAGGGCAAATCAGTCGGACTGTTGCTGCGCTGGCTGGCTGGCTGTGTCTGGATCGGTCGGTAACTCTGATCCCTGGAGGTGACGAGGAATGATCCAAGCGGAAATACCCAACACGCCCGAGCGACGGCGGGGGGAGGGCAAACTTTGGGACCAGAGATACGCGAGGGCAGAGTAAGAAGAGTAAGAGAGGGGGGTTGAAAGAGAGGGAGGGGGGGAGGAAGTGGGATAGTCTAGTTAGTTAGTCCTGCGGAAATGAATAATAATGGTCGATGAGTTTCACAGTCTGGGAATTGCTTAGTGGGTTGGAGGGAGTTCGACCCGGATGATTAATCAGAGAAGGGGGCAAAGGCATAAAGCATGAAGACTACAATGTTCTCCTCTTCTTTAGTGATATAATTGTGTAGATATTCCTCTATCTTGACAACAACGTATGTAACTAAGGAAAGGCGCAGTAACAGTCGGAGTCTTCAGGCTGGCTGCACGAGACGAGTTCCAGTTGGTATTGCTTGCTTCCTTGCATGGCCGGTGCTGGGAGGTCGGGCCTACGTATCAGGTACCGCACTGACCATACCCGCTCGTGTGTGGGTGCAAGTACCGGGTACGACTAGTCCGTCGTTTCCATCATTGCGGAATGCTTGTTGATTGCGTCGGAGCCTGCTAATCACCCTGCCACTGAAGTATTGATTGCACCTGACTGTGTATTATCCCAATCAGGTAGAGTTGGGCAGACCGGTACGAAGAGTCCGTACTCCGTAGTCAATGTGGAATCTGGAATGTTGGTCAGATGACCTGTGGAGTGTCTGTCTTGTCAATCCCCAATTTTAGGATAATATCTTACTGTACTGACACGATCGCTAATCGCTAAGACTTCCGTACGCAAGCGCTCAGCCATGTCCCGTCAAAGTCTGGCTTCAGATCAAATTACGGGAGAGAATGAATATTGTCGCCTGTCACTATACCCTTACACAGTCACGAACAAAATGAGAAAGTGACGTCTACGTCGGTGTTTAGTCGATGTCGCGCTGTGCTCGAAGTACATCCAATACTCTCATGTAGGCGGCGAGACTATTTACTGCCTAACGGACGGTGTTCCAGTTCCCAGTTCCCGCCCTCCAACTAAACCACTCCAGCTTCCAATCATTCGGGTGCCACAAACACAACCCCAACTCTTTCTCACTCCGTCATCTTCCCCTTCTTGATCATCCCTCACAAGAAAGAAAAACCAACGATGAACCGACTATTCGGTAGCAAGAACGCGGCTCCGAAGCCAACACTGGACGGGGCGATCAGCAATGTAAGTGTCCCACTTTCCCTTCGCCTTTCCGATTCACCCCTCCCCTCTCTCTTTCACCCTCTCTGTCTCCTATCGCTTCTCCGCCCTTCCCCCCTCCTCCGAAACCCCGCACGCATAACCTGTGATGGCCTGAACTAACCCCAACCCACCATCCGGGAGAAAAACAGGTAGAGAATCGCATCTCGAGCATTGACGTCAAGCTGGCCGCGCTGAACTCGGAGCTCTCGACCTACCAAACCAAGATCGCCAAGATGCGCGACGGGCCCGGCAAGACGGCCCTGCGGCAGAAGGCGCTGAAGGTGCTGCAGCGGCGGAAGCAGTACGAGGCGCAGCGCGACCAGCTGTCGCAGCAGTCGTGGAACATGGAGCAGGCGGGGATGATGCAGGACAACCTGAAGAACGTGATGACGACGGTGGACGCGATGAAGACGACCACCAAGACCCTGAAGAAGCAGTACGGGCAGATCGACATCGACAAGATCGAGCGCATGCAGGACGAGATGGCCGACCTGATGGACATCGGCAACGAGATCCAGGAGAGCATCTCGCGCGCCTACGATGTGCCGGAGGATGTCGACGAGGCGGAGCTCGACGCTGAACTGGAGGCCCTCGGCGAGGAGACCATGATGGAAGGCGCCATGGCCGACAGTGCCATGCCCAGCTTTCTCCAGGACGAGGTCGCGCCCCCGCAGTTCATCGATGAGCCGCCGGAGCAGAGTAAGATCAAGGAGCCTGCGGGCGGGCTTAGCTGATTTGGGTGAGCGGATGGGGGGGAGGCGGTCTAGTATCTTTGAGTCTAGGTGTTCGAATTATGGAAAGCATTCGGAGTTGGGTCATGTCTATGCGCCTTCAAGTTTTCCAGATGAAGCAATTTGATTTCTTTTTCTTTCTGTCCTTCTGCTAAGCTATATACGGGGGAATGACCGGGAATCGATCCAGGCTAGAGTCTGGCGCAATCCTGCGGTGGTAGAGATTATTGTTTGGCAGCTCATGCTTCAGGCCTTGCCGAGGCCAAGGAGCACAAGAAGCGCGACATTCATCACCACAATAACCAGCCAGACAATAACAGCGATGATGGTTACGAAGAGATTGTTTTTCATCTTGACTCCTCCCGGCGCCGATTCTCCGCCCTCGAAGACCCGCTCAGTTGGGACGGTCATGTAACGGTTGCGACATGTAAAGTAGATGAGAGGAGCGCTGACAAAGGGAAGGATGACACTCAGAACCACTTGGCTGGCATTCAAGGTCTTGTCCAATCCATCTTTACCGACGGCAGCCGCAATGATTATGCTAGGGATGATACTGATCGATCGAGTAATCAATCGACGGAGCCAGGGTCTGATGGTCCAGTTCAACATTCCCTCGCTTACCATCTGCCCTGCCATGGTACAGACGATTCCTGCAGAGATACCAGAGAGGAGGAGCGCTAACCCGAATATCAGACCCGCCGCAGGAGCAACTGAGCTGGAAAGTAAGTCGTAGATGCCCCAGAGGTCCGCATTATCTGCCCCAGGAGTGCCATAGAGCGAGGCACCTGCAACAATGAGAATGGCGCTATTCACAAACAGGGCGAATGTGAAGAGCGACAAGGTAAGCTCAATGATTGAGTATTTCATGCAACCCCGAATGGCATGGATGGAGGGTCTATACTCGACCTCACCACCGGTGCTTCCGAGGCAGACGGATGGATCCACGTAGCCTTGAGTAACATCGAATTCCTTCAGTCGCGATTGAACCACTCCGCTGCCTAGGAACATCGAGTGCGGCATGACCGTTGCGCCGAGAATACCGCAACTTTGATACAGACTGCCAACCAACATGTCAGGACTGTGCATAAGCAAATCATATGACGGCTCACATACCCTTCTGATTGGACGATGGCAGATGATGGTAAGTAGCCCCGGAATACATCGCCAACAGATTGCTCTTTGATCAGCGAAAGCTGGATGCAGAAGCAAATCACAACCCCCAGTACAAGAAGCATTACGAAGAATTCAAACAGACGCAACCCCCACATGGCCCCATTTGGTCGGTAAAAGATGAGGATAAAGAGGACGTCAGCTAGAGTAATCGCACATCCAGCAACTAGAGGGATTTTGAGTAAAAGGTTGAGCGCGATCGCCGATCCAATTACCTGCCAGGACGGTCAATTGAACATTCCGCCCAGGGAACGGAGTCAGGCTGCTTGGAGATAGTCGATCTTACCTCTGCTATATCAGTGGCGACAATGGCAGCCTCTGAAAAGACGTACAGAACAATAGTGAGCCATTTCGGAAGGTGTTCCCTACAGTTCTCTGCAAGGTTAAGCCCGGTCACTGTGCCAAGCTTAACACACAGAGACTGGAGAAAGATAGCAAACAAATTGGAGACGAGCACGATGAACAGAAGAGCGTAACGGTATTCTGCGCCTGCTGCCACGTCGGTAGAGTAGTTTCCAGGGTCAATGTAGGCTACTGCGATCAGAAAGCCGGGGCCTATGAACCGGGCAAATTTGACAAGACTTTGCGCCACATGGGCAGGATATGAAAAGATAGTTGATTTGAAAGAACGGCAGGGAGATTCGCTGTCTTCCCCGGGGATATGATCCCCAGGGGCGACAGAGACCACCCCACCGGGGCATTTCTCCTCTATCTCGGTCTCATTCCCGTCTAGACTATGCGGTCGATGATCCATTGCCGAGACACCTTCCTCTGAAGCGCCTCCCATCCCCGACGCGTGCCGCCTATGGACCTTAGAATTGGCGAGCCCGTTGAAGTCACTTCGGGTGGTGACGTCTGCGTTCAAGGCGGGCGGGTTCTGATTCCAGTCGGGATGCTCGAGGGTGTCGTCGGTGCGTGAAGGGCAATTCATGGGGGGCGAGGTGGTTATATGCGCTGGCACGAGCGTGGAAGATTTGAGAAGTGAGTGTACTGGATTTGTGAGTGATGCAGCACCAGGTGGTTAAGTGGACATGGATTGCCACGAGGTTCAGAACAATGGTGAGGCCAGACTACGTCGGGATCTCAACCGGAAGATCCAAGTACCCTGCGGGGGGGAGAGCCCGAAACTGCCCGAATGCGGTTATCACCAGTGACACACAGGGAACGAGAACGACAAAACAGGCCAGATCACTTCCTGTGCGTCGGAAGTATAAAGCTGGCAAGACAGCAAGCAGACTCGATGTGTGTTGGTGGTTTTAATTTGGCAATCAGTGTTCAAGAGCTAGCTCAAGGTATGAGAAGAAAGTGGTGGAGGGGAGAGAGAGGAAGGAAAGAAGAGAATTTTGGAGGCATGACGGCATGCGGCATCCCACTGGAGGCTGTTCGCGGTGAAGTGGTGGCCAAGCCTTCGCTTCTTACTAAATGCGATGGCATTTCTAGGCACCATTGAACATGGCTTGGCTTAAAATTTAGGTTAGTCATAGGTGTAATGGTTAGCTAGAGGGGAAATGGGTAAGAATGATGAAGGTAACCAACAAGTACAAAGATCAAACCGATAAGCGGGAAGAGGGGACGGAAGGGGGGAAGAGACCGATTATAAAGAGGGTTGTTGTTTGATGAGAATGTACAGTAGACGACAGCTATTGTTTGTCTGGATTGTCACTAACCTGAGGAACCTAAGGAGCTTAAGGAACCTAAGGAATCCAGTCTAAGGTACGGACGGCTCGCTAGGCTGGGCTCCCTTGCAGCCTTCCCGCCTCAGGCGCCGCTTTTCCCCGCGATGATTGCCTTGCGAGGGATTATTGATTGGGCCATCCGCCCTGTAGAAAAGTATAGCAGCTTACACTACGGAGCTCACTCACTACATCATCCAGAATTGTCATCATTGAATAACAAACAACTAAACTACGACTAGCCAGCCTTAGTCCTACGCCGTTATTAATTTATTGTTAGAAGTCTCAGATAGAATGTCACCATTGTTTTCCGCCTCCTAGACACATGTATTTCCGGGACCCAGTCCTACCTTACTGACTAGACCCCCCACCCTATTGTGGCAATAATCCGGACTGTCACAAGTACAGTACAAAGTACTCTGTAATTAATTTTAGGTGGTTACCATATCATCTCATATGAAATCCGTCCAGCCCCCTCCAAATTATAACATCATGGGCCCAGGCAAATGACAGATCAGCCGTCTGGGAATTATGACAGATGCCATCACTTCCTCCACTATGACATCGTTCTCGGCTTAGAAATCCAGTCTTTATGACGGAGATGGTCGGGCAGCAGGAGTATCAGCAGCATCATCAGCATCAGCATCATCCTCGTAATCTGCAGGCGATCAGGCAGGTGATATGGAAGATGTTGATATCAATCAATCTATCGCATCCATCAACTTCCGGCGGCGCGACCGGCCGAAAACAGGATGGTTGCCCGGGACAACCCCGCCGCCCGCAGCATGTTTACACCCTCCGCTTCATGCGCGGCGCAGTTCATCTCCAGCCGTTTGGCAATGGCGTATGGTCTCCATCGCCCATATGCCGATTAGGTTAGACAGTGGAGGAAGCATGCTCGTTCTTCTTGCCTTGTCCCCGAGCCTTGGAAGTCTTCAAATGCCCGGCCCACCCACCTGAGGTTGGCGTTCGTTCCGGTGTGTGTGTGTCTGTGTGTGTGTGTGTGTCCCTTGCCCCCCCGTCTGCTCTTGTCGTGTCTATCGGTGCTGGCTGTCACTGCTAGTCAGTCTAACAGCGGGCTCTGCTTTCACGCGTCTTTTCTTCCTCTTCCTTGTCGTGTCGGGTTTGATCTTCGTCTTTGCTGCATTCATAGATACTTCGCAATTTCTGGGCCTTCTTCGATGTCTGTTGTTACCTTCAGCTGCATGTCGCTACTATCTCGTTTCGCCTAAAACCGTCCCTCGCCTTCTCGTCGTCATTGCCGTCATTCCGCGTCGCTGGTGATTCTTTGTCTTGTTGTGCTGGGGCAACTGCACCGTGAGTAATTTATGCCAGGTGCCTAACTACTCCGTCCTACTCCATCACCCTACTCCACATCCATACTAACCAGATCCGCGATTCTCAAGTCAGCTGCAGGCATAAGGGCAATTCTTCGAAATGGCACCCACTGTGGAATCCCCCAGCATCTTTGACGACGCCACACGAAACCCTTCTAGGCCCTCGGTTTTCCGAGCATTCTTGTCCCCGAAATCTCACAAACGAAACTCCTCTGCGGATGACGCCTTCCCCTCCAAGGCCTTTTATACAAGCCAGCCTTCCGACGGTTCCACTACACCGCCTCGCGATGGGGCCTTTGCGTCATTCAACCAACAACCACTCACCGAAATAGCCCCAAACCGGGAATCGGCAGACATTGGCTCAGCCCAGAGATCGCCGGGAAAGCAGGGGAAGAATACACTGCACAAGAAGACCAAGAGTGCGGTCTCCCTGAAGTCCCTCAAGAGCTACATGGAGCGAAAAGAACCCAAGCCGGAGGAGGCCCTGGATGTTGACGCGCAGAACTTGAGGCCAAAGAAGGCGAAATCAGCCAACAGCCTCTCTGCTATCCTGAGAAGATCACAACGCGGAAACAAGACGGAGGGTACCAAGATCGCTAGGGATAAGGAGAACCGAAGTCCATCGGATTTAGTTAACGGCATGCCCTCACCCGCCTGGGATCAGTTTGTGCCGCCCTTGTACCCCGACCAAGCCGGACTGTCTCCAACACAGAACAAGCGTAGAACCATGCAAGAGGAGACATCACCATGTACACCTAGGGCATATGGACCGACACATCAAAGTAATATCTGGGACTACGAACAGCAGCCATCTCCCACTCCTCGCACTTTACGAACTGAACCCAAGCCGCGACCGAAATCAGACTACCTCGCTGGTAGCCGCAGGATGAAGGAAGTCCTGGCCCCTTTACAGGCCTTATCTTCAGACAAGACGGCGACGGCGGACACATCGGGATCGTCGCCATCCAAGCGATTCGGAAGGCCTCGAGCGTTGTCACGGCCAGAGAAGGGTGAGAAGGCTGAGCTTGCGCGAGAGCAGAGCCCAAAGGTCTCTCGCGTTCAGGCAGCCATCTCCGCTTTGAATGCTAAGGAGCAGGAGGCTGAATTGCGGAAACGCCTAAATCCAAAGGAACTCGACTCGGAATTCGAGAAATTGCTGGTGAGCCTTCCCGTCGCGCGACCCCCCCTCAAACAAGGCAGCTCTAATTATTGGGACAGGATGCGCGGAATATTCCTCACAACATGCGAGACAAAATGCGATCTTTGGACACCAACATCAAGGCTGATTTCATCCTGAAAGATCGAACAGAGAACGCGACCCCACATACTGCCAGCAGCGGTGCAAATGACAGTACCGGTCGTCGCGGGCGTAGGAAGGAGCACAAGGAAGAAAGACAGAACTATGATAGCAAAGGTTCACGATCCCGATCCAGGAGTCGTGGTTTCAGCTTTTCCAAAAGCAGCTCGTCGCCCAAGAAGCGCCCGGACAGTGGAAGCTTCTACCGTCGTCCCAAATCCGCCGATTACTCTTTGCCCGCGGGCTTTTCTAAACTTTTGACGCCCAATGCTTCTACCACTTCGCTTTCCGCGACTGCGCGCGATACAGCCACTGACCCATCAGACTTTGTCCACTATTTGAGGGAGATTCAGAAACCTGAGATGGTAGAGATTGGCAAAATACACAAGCTTCGGATTCTACTGCGCAATGAGACTGTCAGCTGGGTTGACGCGTTCATTGCAGATGGTGGCATGGACGAGATAGTCCAGTTACTTTATCGCATCATGAAAGTTGAGTGGAGGTGAGTAGTAAATCCGGATTGGTGAGGGAAATCTCAAGTTCCCAGTGCTAATACTTCCCACAGAGAAGAACACGAGGATAATTTGCTTCACGAGACTTTGCTATGTCTCAAAGCTCTTTGCACTACCTCTATCGCACTCGAGCACCTCTCCAAAATTGAAGGAGAACTCTTTCCAGCCTTGCTCAAGATGCTCTTTGACGAGGAGAAGAAAGGACCCAGTGAATTTACCACCCGAGGGATTATTATCAACTTGATTTTCACCCAGCTTTCGGCTGTATCCTTGGATGAGATGGCTGCTGAACGCGCCTCGCGGATCCTCTCGTACTTGCGTGACCCTTCGCCATCCGAAGAAAACCAACCGCTAACTTTCATTGCGAACATTTACCAGTCACGTCCTTACCGAGTCTGGTGTAAAGAGGTTACGAATGTGAGCAAAGAAGTTTTTTGGATCTTCTTGCATCATCTGAATATCATTCCGACCCCGAAGGATGAAACACCTTCATCAGCAACATACCGAGAGCGACACTTCCCGGTCCCTCGGCCGCCGGTGCCAGCTGCTCCCTATGTCGGCGGTGTCGAATGGGATGCTACCAATTATCTGGCGGCTCATCTAGACCTACTGAACGGGATCGTGGCGTCTTTGCCCACTACCCAGGAGAGGAATCAACTGCGAGCTGAGCTCCGAGCTTCAGGGTTCGAAAAGGTCATGGGCGGGACTTTGAGGACTTGCAAGGAGAAGTTTTATTCCTCTGTGCACGATTGTCTCCGCACATGGGTTGCCGCAGCAATAGATGATGGGTGGCCGCACTTGCCTGTTCGTGAGGGACCTCCTCGCCCGGAGATTCGGTCACCATCCAAATCCCCGGTCAAGGCAGCAGGTGGAAGCCCTAAGAAGGGTCTCCTGGACGAGCAGCCTCCCAAGCTGGAACTGGTGCTGGACGTCCCTGCCAGTGCCGGAGCGCCTCCGAGCAATGTCATTGGCAACTGGCTGTAGACCTGACTGTTTCGCGATCGGTGTTGTTCACATGCTAGGTACCCTGGCCAGTCATAGCACCTTTGCTGAGACTGTTTATCCTGACAGAGCCTGTTTATGCAATCGTTGCCGGAAGGTCCAACATTGCTTGATTTGATTAGTTTTCTTGTCCCATCTTTCTATCTGACGATTGCGGAGTATTTGGGATTGAAAGGCGCTGGCATTTTCTAAGGTGTTTTGGGTGCATTTGTCCGTTCCATGACGGCCACGGCGAAATGACTTGACGACGGCAACAGGGCCACAGACCTGACTGGGAAATCATCTGACGTTCTTTTTTTTTGTATTCGTTTCCTTGCGAGCATGGTCAGGCAGTTCAATCGTTTTCTCCTGTTGGACAGACACGCTAGGGCTGCGCGCTTTTCACGACCAACAGTATAGTACTTAAGGTCTTCTTGGATGTTATTATTCTATCTTTCTTGTACATGGACAGGGTAATATACAGTATGCGGGTCCTAGGCCTTGTTCTCCACGCATCTTCGAGTCCGCTCTATCCTCGCTCGATGTATAGCAACCGCTGCACAGCCATGGGTGGTAGAACCACTTACTCTCGATCCTTCTCCCCGGCGGCCTCCCTCACGGGCCTCGGCGGCGCAGGCGTGGAAAATGCCCCCTTCAACCCTCCAAAGAAAGCCTTCCGAATCTATCCAACTTATCAGCCCCGTCCAAACCCCACACCAACTGCCCAGCGCACTCGCAAGCAGAACAAAGGGTGAGCAAATAAAGCCTTACCTCATCAAAAGGACTTCCCCTCTCATCCCACTCCATAAACAGCATCGCATAAATCAGAACAACTGTCACACACACAGATAATAATCAAGTCAGTAACCCATTCACCACAGCCACAGTGTCCAACAACCCCCCCACCCCTCAGTCTCCCCTCCCCTTTCCCCCCCCTTCCATCTCCACCCCCCTCCTCCGAATCTAAAAGTCCAGCAGGGGAAAACTTACACCCAATACTAAACCACTGCACCAACTTAGTGAACTTGGTCCACTTGGGCCGGGCGTACTTCAGCGCCGCGCGCCGCCGGTACTTGCGCTCGAGCCGGAACTGGTGCTTCGGCGAGAGCTTCGACATGTCCGGAGGCCATTGGCGCTTGGGTTTGTAGGGGCTGTAGTAGGCGTGTTTGCTGTTGTGGTCGTGGGCATGGTCATGTTCGGCGTGGGATTCGTCGGTCGAGGGCGGAGGGGTCTTAGGGCTCGGGGTGCTGGTTAGGCGGAAGGGGGAGGGGGAGGGTTTGCGGTGGGTGGTGGTGAAGGTCCGGATTGGGCTTTTTGTCTGTGAGTGGTGTTAGTTTCGAGGGTACCGGTGTTGAGGGAGACGAGACGTACTTGGTGCGCCGCGGAGAGGATGCCCGGGCGGATGGTGATCGGGGGGTTATTGTGGGTGCGGAGGAGGCATTGTGTGGGGAAGGGACGGGCTGTTGGGACAGCTGGTGGTAAAAGAGAGGTCGGGAGGAGGCGGGCGAGGCGCATTGGGACTGCTGGGTGGGTAGTGTTTCGTTGTGGTGCGAGGTTGAAGGTTGAAGGATTGGAGGATTACTTGGGTGTGCGATGCTCGGCGGTTGGGTTGAGGCGCAGGCTTATTTTCTTGGGTTATCGCGGGATAGGCCGGCAGAAAAAGATGGAGCGCGGTGCACGGTGCGCGCGCGCACTCGCTCGCCGCCTTGGGGTTCACCGCCTTCTGGATTTATGCTTGCTGTTTGTGCTTGAGGGAGAGAGCCCGGGTATATGTACATGGAGGGACTAATGTTGGTTACATACGGAGTAGAAAGCTACACATGGCTTTGAGCTAGCATGTCTTTTCGTCAAAGCAGTAATGGTGTCTGTCATCCATGATGATACTAGAGACAGGACGGATATTTCATCTAGTCTGGAAGCATATTATATAGGGAGCGCTTGAATTTATCAGCAGCCGAGATAGTATGCTCCAGTATCCATGACAATGACTGACTCCATCACATGCAAGTAAATCTGGTATCATACTGCTGATCTCATGACGACGATGCAGATAATCAGCCTGGTCATCGGCCAGTCAAGGATGGATCCCCCAACATCCGTCTTCACATGAATCTCCATGCTTTCGGCGATCCCGTGACCCATCCCCACGGACTAACAATAATGCGGCCGAGCCTCGGTACATTCACAGGATTACCTATTATTATTCACCAACCAGTAACTAAAGAGCTGGTAGGCCGGGGTTAACCTGAATGACTTTCTCCACGCTGTCTCTTCCCCGGACTTCCGTCTTATAAGAGCGAAAAGGAGTCCTGCTGCATCTTCTTTCTGATCCTGCTTTTGTCAAAATATCGTTCCTCCCCTTCCCTTGCTGCCAGGACACACTTATCTCACCCCCTTCCTTGTCTTCATTTATTGACGTCATTATGTCCTCTCGTATGTTATCACCCCTCCAAGGCAACACACCCCGTGATTCTGAGCTGACAGCAGTATTCTAGCCCAGCAACGTCTCAGCCAGGTGGCTTCTCACTTCGGTCCCGGAGGCAAGAAAGGCGCTGCAGCCCTCACGGAGAAGAACCCCGATGATATTGTTGTGACATGTGCTCTGCGGACGGCTCTCACCAAGGGTGGAAAGGGCGGCTTCAAGGATACCGCCGCCGCCGACCTGCTGGCAGGTGTTTTCAGGGCGGTGATCGACCAGAGCAACATCGACCCCAGCGTCGTCGAAGACATCGCTGTCGGATCGGTTCTGCCCCCTGGTGGTGGTGCTACTGAGTTCCGTGCGGCTGCGCTCGTCGCTGGATTCCCTGAGACCGCGGCTGTGAAGAGCTTGAACCGTCAGTGTTCCAGTGGCCTTCAAGCTATCGTTGACATTGCCAACGCTATTCAATCCGGTATGATCGAGGTTGGTATTGGTGCTGGCGTTGAGAGCATGTCCTCGCAATATGGGTAAGTGTCGCACTCACCCCTTCTCATTTTACCTGAGCACGAACTGACCCGGATCCTGAAACTAGTCCCGGCGCCGTGACCGAATTCTCCGAGCTGCTGGAGAGCCACCCGGAGTCCGCCAACTGCAAGGTGCCCATGGGTGTCCTGTCGGAGCAGATGGCCAAGGACCGGAAGATCACGCGTGCGGCGCAGGATGCCTTTGCTGCCTCCTCCTACCAGAAGGCGGTCAAGGCGCAGAAGGCCGGGCTCTTCAACGAGGAGATTGTCCCCCTGCAGGTGAAATGGACCGACCCCAAGACCAACGAGGAGAAGACCATCACCGTCAAGGCCGACGACGGGATCCGCGACGGCATCACCGCCGAGTCGCTGGGCAAGATCCGGCCCGCCTTCGCCAAGGACGGCTCCATCCACGCCGGCAACGCCTCGCAGATCTCCGACGGCGCCGCCGCCGTGCTGCTGATGAAGCGGTCCACCGCCGAGCGTCTCGGCCAGAAGATCATCGGCAAGTACGTCACCGGCAGCGTCGTGGGTGTAAAACCCCTGCTCATGGGCATCGGCCCGTGGAAGGCGATCCCCGTGGCGCTGGAGAAGGCGGGCATCACCAAGGACGACGTCGACATCTACGAGATCAACGAGGCCTTCGCTTCGCAGTGCGTGTGGTGCGTCAACGAGCTGGGGCTGCCGCAGGAGAAGATCAACCCCAAGGGTGGCGCTATCGCTTTCGGTCACCCGCTCGGCTGCACTGGATCTCGACAGGTCAGCACACTTCTGACGGAGCTGAAGCGGACCAACAAGAAGATCGGTGTCACCAGCATGTGTGTTGGTACGGGTATGGGTATGGCCGCCGTGTGGGTGGCGGAGTAAGCAGTTGGACGAGGGGGAAAAATTAGAATGAGCTGGCTTCATGTGAATCTTCTCTCCTTTTTGTCTTAATATATAAAGAGCGGGCTTCTCTTAACCTTTGTGCTCTCCGCCATTGTTCTGGACGTTCAGGCGTTGGATTAAGTCTAATACCTTGAGATATCTTCCATCCTCATCATCTAGAACTCTTCCAGATAGTATATACCCATGTCAAACTCCGTATAGATAAATGGAGCAGGCGTAAGCCCCAGAACCCTCAAACTCAAGCACATGGACACCTTTTCCCACCCACCAACACCCACAAGAGAGAGGAGATCTAAATCTTCCCACGAAACCGCTTAAAGGCATCGAGCACACTGACACCCTGCCCCACAGCCTCCTTCACCCGATCATCCATCGCCACCAACTTGGGCATCGTCTCCAAAACGGCATCGAGCAGATCGCGCGGAATAGCCACCACGCCTTCCACCGGATCACAGACAATGATATCTCCCTGTGTATACCACATACCCGCCGCAGCAGCAGGTTAGCCAAACGCAACGCAACCCCCCCGCCCCCCCCTCCCTTTATCTCAATCCAGGATAGGGATAACATACAGGCTCAACAACCACCCCACCCACATCAACAGCGACATTGCGGGCGACCGCCTTCGCCTCCGCCCCACTCCCCACCGTCGATGTCCCCCGCGCCCACACAGGGAGCCCACACTCCATAAACTCGGCGAGGTCGCGCACGCGCCCGTTCACCACCGCCCCCTTCACGCCTAGGTGCTTCATGCGCAGCGCCATGATCCCGCCCACGACCGCGCAGTGTTGGGTTGGGGGTTGGTCGATAACCACGATGGTGTCCGGGTCGACGGTGTCGACCCAGTGCGTGTTTGGGGGGATGGTGTGCGCATTGTCGTTGCTCGCTGCGGGGATATCGTCGTGTTTGGAGATGAATTTGATGGTTGAGACTGGGGCGATTATTCTGGTGGTGCTAGGGCTTGGGGGATGGGGGTGGGGGTGGGGTAAGGGGGCTTTGTTTCTTGGTGGTTAGGTTTTGCTTTGCTTTGTTTTTGCTGGCTAGGTGGGATTTTGGTGATGGTGCTGCTACTTACTTAGGTCGGCGAGGTGGCCGGCGCGGGCGGGGGCTCCTGGGGCTGGGGTTTGGAGTTTGAGGAGCGCATCGGAGACCTAGTTGTTTGTGCTGTGAGTGGGGATCTGGGGATCTCTGGGTGGGTGGGTTGTTGATGGATTTGTGCAAGGTGCGTGGTGTTACGTACGTCGCAGGCGGAGTAGTTGTGGAGGATGCGTAGCTTTTCTTCGAGGGGGGTTGGTGTTGGCATGTTGGTAGGGAGTTGGTGTCTTTGTTTGAGAATTTGGGAGGGGGAGTGGATGATGGTGGTGATTGTGGTGGAGTGAGATAAGTCGATGCGGGGTGAATCCGGGGCAATGGAAGAGTCGCGGAGGTTTATGCGGAGAGCCTCTGGTTTAACTGGTAGGGGTTGAAGCGTGGGATTCAGGCTCTGAGAATAGTATGGATTGCGAAGGGGACCGTCGAGGTTCGTGCCAGGTTCAATGGTAGATAGCATACCTTTATGCTTCAAGCTGCTGATTGTCGTCGAGCATGTGGAATAACCGAGGATCGGAGGATTGACATCATTGGCAGCTGTATAGTGGCAGAGGTCATTGGAGAGTCAGATCAAAGGGCATTCCTAAGTGTTAGTGAGTTGATTAAATTAAATGTATCTTGTTTGAGGTACGCCTCTTGGTTGTGTAGCATGTGTAGATGCACATGAAGATAACAAACGGTCGATGACTTACTGGTATACTATAGAAGCAGGCAAGAACGTGACCGAGGTGCCCCCAAACGGGTAATTCTCCACAATATCATCCATCCAGATGAACTGCCGGACACTCCCGGCATTCACAAGCTTTGACTCGGCCCCCGAATCGAATTGACCTCAACTCAAACCCAGCGACGAACCATGGCTGCAGCAGCAACATATACTCCCGACAAGCTGGAGCTCTACCTGGAGCGCATCGGGTTCCCTAATGCCACTCCTGGTAGCAGTCGACTGGAATATGTCCGCGACTCTATCCAGAAACGCCCTCTGGCCACGTTGACCGAGCTGCAGCGAGCACACCTAACCTCGATTCCGTGGGGGAATTCGGGGCTTCACTATTCAGCGCACCACTCCATCTCCATCCGTCCGGCATGCGTCTTCGAGAAATTGGTGTCCCGCCGGCTCGACGGCTACTGCATGGAGAATACTATGCTGTTCTACCATGTCCTCCGATCGCTGGGGTACACGGTCTACCCCACCGGAGGGCGAGTGAACACTGCAGCCTCCGATGCGTCGACCGACAGCCGCAACTGGTTCTTTGTAGGCATGTGAGTGGCGCGACCGTTTCCGTTGCATGCTGTTGCGAACCCAACGCCGAGAAACTCATGCGCAATGTTACACCGCAGGGGACACATGGTCCTGATTGTGACCATCGACGGCGAGAAATACGCGGTATGGCTGTCGAATTTCCCCCCGAGCACAAATCGGATGATATCCCGACATTGCTCCTTGTCTACACCACGCTGCTAACCCTCGTATCGGACAGGTGGACGTCGGGTTCGGCAGCAACGGGCCTACCTGCCCCTTGCCGCTGCAGCATGGAAGCGCGCGGGTGAATATAGCCCCGTCGGAAATGCAGCTCATCTACGATACTTTGCCCGAGTTCGTGGACCAGACGCAGAAGGTTTGGATTTACCAGGTCCGGTATGCGCGGGACAGCACCTGGATGCCCATGTACTCGTTCTCCGAGGTGGAGTTTCTCCCACAGGATTTCGAGGTCATGAACTTTGCCACCAGTCAGCGGCGAACGAGCTGGTTCACCCAGACGCTGGTTTGCACGCGGATGCTGCTTGATGACAGCGGACAAGGAGTCAAAGGGCTCTGTATCCTGGCCGGAAACACTGTGAAGGTAAGGGCAGCCGGACATTCGGAGGTGGTCGAAACCTTGAAAAGCGAGGAGGACCGCGTCAAGGCGTTGGCCAAATGGTTCGATATGCACTTCCAAGAGCATGAAATCGAAGGCATTCGCGGGTTGGTCTCTCAAATCAAATAGAATGTTTGGATATCTTTGGAATTCTACCGTGGCAGCGAGGAACTCGCTGGCTCGCAATGATTGTACAGATAACAAAGAATGAGGTTATTCTTTCTAACCCGAGGCGTGGATATTTCTCTCAAAGCTAATGCAGGACGAACAAATGAGGCACAAATAGAAAATTGCAGACATGGCGCAGGGATCGCCTTAGTAAATCCGTTTCTCGAGCTGCAGCACAGGTCAGTCGCCTGAACAGGAAGCGCGCATGGCAATAAAAAGCAAGTAGCACTGTACCTTCCAGGGGTTGTTGAGTTCGAAGCCCGTGGGGGCTGTGGGGTTGGCCGATTGACCTCGGAATATTCCTGTCATTCTTTGATCTCTCTCCATCACTGCGGCGAAGTCAAACGTTAGCTTTGTAGCTCCTCTCCAAGACGTAGATCGCGCATGCGTGAAATTTCCGAAAATCGTTCGTCATGCATTGGGGTGGAATCGCCAAGGATGGATCACATACTTTGCTGCTCTGCTGTTAGCGCGCAGGGTCATTCAATCGCCCAAAAGGGGTATAACTCACTCTATCCCACAGGTCAAGGTTCCAGCGCGGCTGCTTCCAGCCGTTGGCATAATACTTAACGGCCCAGATACCACCAGCACCAGCAGTGAGGGACTGTCACGTCATGGTCAGTCAAACCGAGCGCGAGGACGAATTGCGGAACCACAATTGGCAGGACCTACACCGATGATGATTCCAAAAGGAAGCAAGGCCTCGAAGGGGACACCCATGATGTGTAGTGCTAGTGTAGTGAAGCGGCAGACGCAACGGGTAAACGCGGGGGAATGAAGTCGTGGAGGAATTGACTGGCGAAGTTGAAGCCCGCCGGAGGTTCGAACGAGAGTCTGGCGGATGACCCAAAGCGGTTTAGGCGGGGCGGTGACCCGGCCGTGGATGAGTCAGCAGCGGCACTCAACCTCACAGGGACAGGAGAAGCAGAAGGGGCGAGTGCGTAGATTCCGGGAAGTCGCCTGTAGACGGCCTTCTTCAGCTGCTGAGATTCTTTCCCTACGGTCCTTGCTATTGAATTTAGGGTACATTGGCTGTGCTCGTGGGAGAGGTATGTTCCCTCGTATCTGATAGCTTGACGCGTTCCATCCGCCATTGTTCCATCCCGCTCCTCTCCCATCTTTCCCTTCCACTGACAGCTGTTTTGATTGCGCCTGCGCTCAACTTATTAACTTTGGGTTCTCAGCGCAACTCCTTTACTCGCCGATCTCTAAGTCGCATTCGCTGGCGCCCCGGGCAACTTGTTCTATGATTCCCCATGCCCATTCACTGCGGCGCCAGGTGATTGTCTACTTTTGCGGGGAGCCTGTATAGTTTCAACTGCTGGGCTGCCTTGTGCCTGCTACGGATTCCCTCTATTTTCGATTCGAAGTGTCCGAGACAATTTAATGCCCGTTGGTTTTGGCGACCGTTGCAACCGCTGTGACTCAACATGCCGGCAATAGTGCCGCCGGTCGATGACGACCTGGACAACAATACCCCCGCGGATTTGGTGGACAGTGAGCAGGATGCTGAAGGGGAAGAGGACACAGATCTCTATCAGATGGACCAACAGCTACAGGACGCTGTGCACCGCGCCCTTTCGGGCGAGCCTGTTGAGAACACCCCGGCAGCTGGCCCTGACGATGAACTGGATGCTGAAGGCGAAACCGATCCTGAGATGGACGTGGACGGCGCTCCGCTTGATGCTGAGCCGGTTGGCGCCGTGAAATTACCCAAGGAAGCCCCGACCGAGGACGACGAAGATGTTGTTTCGGGCCCAGCAGATGCAGACGCAGACGAAGACCCTGCTTCTGAGCATTGCAGCGACAGCGAGCAAGAACAAGATGATGCATCGGGTTCGTCGTCAAGCAGTCAGGAAACGGACGATGAATGGGAAGGAGAAAGCAATGACCATGAGGATGCGGAGGCGGAGAACACGGTCCGCGGCAACTGCATGTGAGTCTAGAACCTCAATTTGGCTGCCCGTGCCCCTGACCTGCCGGGCTCCGGGCCACATCAGGGGCAGTCGCCTGAAACACCGATAACTAATATGAATTGCTCTGTGTCTAGATTCTGTGGCCAGGACGAAGACAACGATCCTAGTGAAGAGTACGAGGAGTATTTGACTTGCGGAGTCTGTGGCGATCATTGTATGTTGGTTTCGCGGCCCCATAAATTATCCAGCCGGCTGTTGGACGATCCTTACTGACTCGGAAACCCGACAGCTCACCGGCAATGCGCCCGGGAACAGAGTGCATTGGATGACGCGGAAGGTATCTTATCTCATTCCTGATCAAACCACTAATTCATGATGTGCTAAACTATGGTAGGACCCAATTCATGGCGATGTCCCACCTGCGTTCGGCAGAAGCTGAGGCCCAGCCCCAAGGGGAACGTACCAGTGCAACGAAAGGGTCGAGCTAAGAACATGCGCAAAGAACTGCTGCCAGCCCATACTGGCGAAGAAGGCTCTGACTTTCATTCAATCTTCAATACAGTAACAGTCAACGATGAACTCCTAAACAGCTCTCGGTCGCTACGAAAGAGGAAAGCCCTTTCGGCGTCGGCAGAGGTTGATGAGCATGCGCCTGTCCTACGTAAACGGCAACGGCAGACTTCACTGCGCTCCGATCGGGCAATATCCCGTGAGATGGGCGAGGTTGTTGATGGCATGTCTCCAGTTCGAACGCGCTCTCGGCGTACACGTAAGACCGAACAGGAAAATTGCCGCATCGTGCTGAAGCAATATGGGCGTCTCGTCCTAGCGTTTCGCTTAGATGAGTCTAGGTTGTCCAAAATCTTCAATTCTCGCAGCAGATCTCAAACGCGCAACCACCGGACTCCTAAGCCACCCCCGCCTGTTCCCGAGCCTCAAGCTCATTTTGCTCCAATAACGCCTGCCTCCTACTACACCCCGTTCTACTCTTTCAACGACCGCGAGATGGATGAGTCCAAGTCTAAACCGTACGGAGGTATTCTTTCTGAGGTGGACGCGGATACATCAAAGACGTTGCCGACCAACATGGATCGGGAGAAGTTCGAAATAGCCCGTCACAAAGCAGAGGAGGAATGGCAACGAAGAGTCATGCAAACTGAAACCAGCGGTGAAACCGTACAGCATGCGTCACAGAAGGTCTCAGGCCCTCCGTCTAGGATCAAGTACATTAATTTTGGGGGCTATGAGATTGAGACCTGGTACGCCGCCCCCTACCCGGAAGAATATAGCCGCAACCGAGTCCTTTACATTTGCGAATTCTGCCTGAAGTATATGAACTCCGACTACGTTGCGTGGCGGCATAAACTCAAATGCCCGGCGAAGCACCCTCCTGGCGATGAAATCTACCGGGAAGGGTCAATATCCATATTCGAGGTAGATGGGCGGAAGAATCCAGTCTACTGCCAGAATCTCTGCTTGCTTGCAAAGCTGTTCCTGGGTTCGAAAACTCTTTATTATGATGTAGAGCCTTTCCTCTTCTACGTCATGACCGAGTACGACGAATTGGGATGCCATTTCGTTGGGTACTTCAGCAAGGAAAAGCGCCCAAGCTCAGCGAACAATGTCTCGTGCATTCTAACGCTACCCATTCATCAGCGGAAAGGTTATGGAAACCTACTTATTGACTTTTCTTACCTGCT